AGAATGAGAAACTCAGCCATTAACCGTACAAGAGGCTGATTAGTGATTACCCTACAACCAAGCATCCGTAACTGTAAGGGGCCATCCGGCATTAGAGAGGTTCCGCACTACCGCATTTCCCCGAATATAAGTCGCACCTTTTTACAGTGAACTTCAAGGGAGGAAGAAGCGGGTGTGCCTTACAATCGAGCGTGATTCCCTTCTGATGTGGATATATTGAAGTTATTATGGCTCAGACCGGAAATGGGGTTGCAACCTATACTCGAGTGCAGCACTAGTCATCTTCTCTCTTTTTCTTTTACCCTGAAACTCGGATCGCTAAAAATAGTAAAATATTTCATCGCGAATTGGTCCTGATTCCGAAATCGCTAATTTTTTACCCACTGAAATTAGCCAATCTACAGTACACTGTCGCGTTCGGAGTTGGCAAGGGCAGCTACTCTGAAGTATGTGTTTCGAAAAATCCGTACTGTTGTAAAATGATTGTACTGTCCGGAACTTCGCCAGTCAAATGGTTTGTGCTTCGGCAGCAATAAAGGTGGGACACGTCCAGCGCAACTGTCCGCACCGCCGTCACCAGAAGGGCGGACGGCAGCAGAGGAGCAGTGAGAAGCAGCACCACAAGTCCAAGGAGCAGAGACCGCTTATGTGCTTCTTTTGTGACCAAGAGGGCCATATGAAGAGGGACTGTCGGTTGCGCCGCGAGTTCCTCGCCTCTTTGACTCAGTCCTCAGCAGCAGCTGCAGAGCCAGTGCAGACAGAGAAGTGCCTTTACCTGTGCGTGGCAATTTTGGCACGGCCAGGATTGCCGAAGGTGTTTGTCAATGTGTCCTGTGACACTGCATCTGGAGTACGTGTGCGGTCCGTAATATACACAGGTTCTACCCGGACATTGGTGACCTCAGCACTGGTCGACCAGCTCGGGACTCCAGTGACGGCCCACACGGGTCAACCAGTGGTGGCGCTGGATGGCCAACCTTTGCGTATCCTGGGAAGTGCGCAGTTGCAGTTCGTACGTGAAGATGATGCTGTCAGTATCCCCGCTGTCTCCATGGAGGTCTTAGTCGCTCCTGGTCTGGTTGTTATCGGGAAGAAACTCCCGTTTGGATTTGCAAAATAAAACGGAGCTGTGATGTTAGTAACTTCGTAGACTGGCCGGTGAATCTTGTACATCTGCTACAAAAGGTCGAGGAGAGACAGACAGATACAGAGAAAACACCCTCATCGGCACGGCGGTACCACAGAAGAAGGCACAGAGTCGACAAGATCAGCGGTTCGGCCATGTGTCGCGGCCTGGATTTTAGAGCATTAGCTCTTGGTTTTTCGTTGGCCTGGTATGGCCGGTTTTTTTGTGAACCTCGGTTCTGGATTATTTTCCGTTGGCCTTGCGTGCCTGTACGAGTGTCTTTTTTCCCGTTTACTAGTATTATCGTTGGCTTGTTGTGCTACGAGTACAATGTAAGCTGGTTTTTACTAACGTAATTACGTTATGAGGAACCGCTCTAATATCGATAATTTTTCACGGAACGAAAAAGTTTAGTTATAATATTCAGGATACTAGCCAGGTAAAAATAGTAGGGGGGGGGGAGGAGGAGAAACAGTTTACCCCTTACCCATTATTTCCATTTTCCAAAATTATCTGCCCCAACGTACCCCGACTTCACCATAGATAAAGTGTGCCTTTATGAATCATGAACCCCTCTACTGACTATCGACTGCATTTTCGTTGAATGGCATGAAAAATACAAAAATCGACAAATGAGTAGGAGGGTGCCACATTTTCACAGAAGGGGTGCTCAACCAGAGTAGGAGGGTGCTGTATCCCCTCAGAATTGACTTGACAGCTAGACCGGGTAGATTTTTCAGCTATCAATCTTTTTCAACACGGTAATCTCCTCGACCCACTTAAACACTCTTTAACGAAACTTTGTTCGCTTCGTGTAAAAGATCGATAATTACGGACAGCTACCCAAACCCGTATGCGATACCCACACCCCATTCTTAACGTTTCCATGAGCACCTACCAGCTGAGAAACGAGACACTCTTCGCCGACACGGCGGATGGACGGCACCAGATCGACAAACGCGGCCGCCTCGCTTAACCAGGACTTGGCGGGCAGCTGTGAACGGAACTGGTGGCCAAGCGTCAGCAGCTGATGTGCCAAGTAGAACGAGTTGTTGTGCTGTACGGCGGCGAGAAGAGGAATGTCGGAGACGGCACGCCGATGAAACGTGGGCGTCACCAGTGGGTACAGCTCGAAGACGTTACGTACACTGAAGAACAGCTGGATAGCACTGGAACAACAACAACAACAACAACAACAACAACAACAACAACAACAACAACAACAACAACAACAACAACAACAACAACAACAACAACAACAACAACAACAACAACAACAACAATCACAAACATGATGACAACAACGATGACGACAATGACCACAACCACAACAGCATTGACAGCAGTAGCAGCAGCAGCAGCAGCAGCACCGCCACAAGCACCATCACCTCCACCACAACCAGCAGCAGCAGCAGCAGCAACGGCAGGACCAGGACCAGGACCAGGACCAGCAGCAGCAGCAGCAGCAGCAACGGCAGCAGCAGCAGCAGCAGCAACGGCAGCACCAGCAGCAGCAGCAACGGCAGGACCAGCAGCAGCAGCAGCAGCAGCAGCAACGGCAGGACCAGCAGCAGCAGCAGCAGCAGCAGCAGCAGCAACGGCAGGACCAGCAGCAGCAGAACAAGGTGAATGCTCGGTTGTACTAAACAAACCTGGCTTGCGGACTGAAAATGGCGGTAGCCTTGGCAAGATCAAGCAGGCACTGAAGGTGCATGAGACATCACGAACACACGACACAGAGCACACTGCATGGCATGCATCATGGCATGCGTATACATGTGTACACACTGCATGGCATGCATCATGGCATGCATATACATATGTACATGTACACACCTCTCCACCGATGAGCGTGTGGCCTCCTGCAAAGTGTCCCTAGCCAGCTGCACAAGGTCTTGAACGAAGGTGCTGACCCGACAGCGGGGCATGTATAGCACACCCTCGGCCAGTGATAGCTCCGCTTCACTCTGCAGTGGGAGAGACAGAAAGCACACACGCACGCACGCACGCACGCACACAGTGACACACATGCCGACTGAAGCCAAATAAACGGCATGCCGCAAAACGGCGTACCTAGCATCCAGCATATTCACAAGTAACCCAGTGAAACAGAGCAAGCCTAGTCTCACAGTTCAGTGACAAACAACAACTTGTCGGGAGGAAACACCAGTCGTCAACTTACCCGCTTTTCATCAAACGATAGGCTGTCCGCAGAAGGTGAGCATGTACTGTCCGATGGTGTCTTCAACCCTGCAGAGAGAGAACAAACCAGTTGGCACACTGCAAAGTCAGCACTCAATATGCGACACCAACTGACACTTTCCTGAAGCGGCTAGCGACATAGCTACAACTTTTAAAATGGCCGGACCGATAAAACAATGGAGCTGCATCAGCTGATCAAGTTTTAGCAGCAGTCAAATTGCAGCACTGCCCAGCAAAATTGGTAAGTTACAGTAGCAAGTGGAATCTGCTACAATCCCCACCTTTACAACATAAAAGTGGATAGGGCCGAGGGAGAGAGGGAGAGAGAGAGAGCGAGAGAGCGAGAGAGCGAGAGAGAGAGAGAGCGAGAGAGAGAGAGAGAGAGAGAGAGAGAGAGAGAGAGAGAGAGAGAGAGAGAGAGAGAGAGAGAGAGAGAGAGAGAGAGAGAGAGAGAGAGAGAGAGAGAGAGAGAGAGAGAGAGAGAGAGAGAGAGAGAGAGAGAGAGAGAGAGAGAGAGAGAGAGAGAGAGAGAGAGAGAGAGAGAGAGAGAGAGAGAGAGAGAGAGAGAGAGAGAGAGAGAGAGAGAGGGGGGGGAGAGAGAGAGAGAGAGAGAGAGAGAGAGAGAGAGAGAGAGAGAGAGAGAGAGAGAGAGAGAGAGAGAGAGAGAGAGAGAGAGAGAGAGAGAGAGAGACACACACACACACACACACACACACACACACACAGAGGGAGAAAGAGAGACAGAGACAGAGACACAGAGACAGACAGAGAGAAGATTTAACATTCGCACGTGAGCATGGCACTCGTGCTCCGATGCACGTGACCGTGCCTGAAGTACATGTACCTGTGCTGGAGTGAGGAGCAATGAGTACGGTGTTATGCAGGTCGCTGACCATCAGAGAGCGAGCGCGCACCAACAAATCTTCACACTGTGCACAGTGAACACACGAAAACAAGCATGGATACAGACACACACAAAACACACACACGCGCACACGCACACGCGCACACGCACACACGCACAACACACACGGATGCACACACACATACACAACACGGATGCACACACACATATGCACACACACATACACAAACAAACACACACACGCACACACGAACAAGCACGCACACACACACACACACACACACACACACGCGCACACACTGAATCACAGCGAATCGCAGTACTGCAGTGTGTGTAGCTACATGCTATTGCTCTCTATCCAGTGTTGCAGGGGCAGAGTTTCGCATGACATCACATCACATGCTTCAATACGCTACACGAGCAAACAGTGCAAAGTTACCAACGGAGAGTAGTACCCAGGGGTGTTACAGGGCAGTGATGAATGGTACGAACGGGGGTCCGGGTTACCCGTCGTGGAAAAAATTGGATTTTTTGGCGTTTTAGCACTCTTTTATTGCTTTTTGGATGAAACGAGCGGACCCTCCTGGGGATGAAAAGTGTTATTCTTGAAAGAAGCAAGACAAAGGAGAGAACAAGCAGGATTCGAACCCACAGCAGTATGAATCTCAAGCAACCCCTTATACCACCCAGCCACTGTGCTGCACGGCCATGGTCGCACTGGTTGTACCGTGTGTGACACCCTGTGTACCCAAACAAACACGGTCAAGAACTGTGAGAGAAGCGTCCCGATCCCAGCCCTCTCCTACCTACCTTCTTGCTAGCAAAGTGAATGTTGACATTGCTGGTGTACTTGCTGAGGGTGGACGCCTGGGCATCAGGGACAAAACCTATTGCAAAACAGAGATCGGCATGAACAGACACACACACACACACACACACACACACACACACACACACACACACACACACACACACACACACACACACACACACAACACACCAAGTACCATGTATACGCCCGTCGCAAGAGAAGCACACAAATCTGCAAATGCACTGGATGTGCACCCACAGATTTTCTCTGATAGCAACGATAGCAGACAAGATCTGAATGAGACAGACCAGGACTAGTACCAGATAACTGGCCGAACCCACACCCGAACCCACACACATACCCCCCCCCCCCCCCCCCAACACACACACACACCTACACAAATAAGCACAAGCTTCCCCCCCCCCCCCCCCCCTCCACATACACACACGCGCACACACCAACACCCAAACGAGCACGAGCCCCCCCCCCCCCCCCATACACACACGCGCACACACCAACACCCAAACGAGCACGAGCCCCCCCAACACACACACGCACGCACGCATGCATACCTTTGTCGAACATGCTCCTCTCAAAGTCCTGGGTGGCCGTGATCACATTCGAAAACAACTGCAACTGATACAAGTGAAGAATAAACAAATCGACAACAACAGCAGCAGCAGCAGCAGCAGCAGCAGCAGCAGCAGCAGCAGCAGCAGCAGCAGCAGCAGCAGCAGCAGCAGCAGCAAGAAGAAGATGGTGAATAACAACAGACCCATGCACTTTAAAGAAGAAACACAGAAATCGTTGGCTAAAGAATCCAAACAGTCAAACAAGGAATAGAAAAAAAGGAATGGTGGAATTACTCTAAGCAGGGGAGAGAGAGAGAGAGAGAGAGAGAGAGAGAGAGAGAGAGAGAGAGAGAGAGAGAGAGAGAGAGAGAGAGATTGTTGTGTAACGCACGCACAACAATTATTCACCACTACTACTCCGCACATGCACACAGCACTCACAACGGCGGACTCTGACAGTAGTGTAAATAAAAGGACTGATACTTGGAAATGAATTAGTTAGGTAAGGATATAGAAAAACAACAACTCAATCTTGGGAGAGCTAATCAACAAGGAGAAATAAAACCGGAACTCCACGGAACCGGCGGGGGCGGGGCAAGACGACGTGGACAAGCCCGGCTGACGTGTGCGAGTACGCACGCGGCGCGGTCAATGGGGCTTCGGCCAGCAAGCGTGGGGACGCTAACCTTTGCAGCAAGCGCAGCATGCAAATAAGGCAGACGGCAAAAGCAATGCGCATGCTCGCAATAATGACGCGTAGCTGATAGGGCATGACGTCAACACAACTCGTGAAAATGCCTACGCAAAAATGTGTTCGAAAAGTAACTGTGAGCTACGATGCAGGAAACAACCTCTGCGATCTGGCAGAAGATGAAACAATTTGAAACTAGACAAATTGACAGTCAGTGAGTCAGAGAAGAAAGGAAACATGAAAATAGCAAGAGAAGAAAGGAACAGAGCAGGCGCGGAGAATGCAGAGTATGTATAACAGAACAGAACGGTAAGCAAAGTCTCAAAACGAAGAACACGACGTACAAATTCAAAATCTATAACTTGAAGCAATAAATAAATGTGCAGTATGGTATCAAATACTTGTGGAGAGAGAGGCGAACTATTCTACTTCACCTCTCCCCCTGATACCATAGTCATAGTCATACTCACTCACGGTAACGTGCTGGCGCCTGGAGCTGGCGACGAGGTCGTAGCGCATATCCGCCAGTTGGAGCAACATCAATGGTGACACCAATACCATTGTCATCTTCCTCGTCACTATTCAGGCTAGCCTCTGTGGCAGCTACATCAGCAGCATCGGGAAGATCCTTCTTCAACAAGGCAATGTTGATAACCTTCTCAGACACTCGGCGGTTGTCCGAACCTGGCTTTTCAATCACCACAGTCATTGGACTTACGATTGCTTTCACTTTCCAGCCACGCTCATAGGGTGCAAGGCGCTTCTGATGGCGATCTGGGCGCTGCAACATCACGTGATCACCAACAGCATAGGGACAGTGTGACTCTTCTTCGACGAAGTCGCTCGCCAAGAGCTCAGCATCGATCAGATCACGAATCCGAGCAGACCGCTTTGCATGTTTCGTGGCCCAGTCACTGAGGCTACACGCTTCGGCGGTGTCGGCAATAATGAAGTGAGGGGGTTTCCAGCCCACTATGGCTTCCATCGGCGACAGGCGAGTGGCACTGTGAGGTCGATTGCGATAGAAAAACAGGAGCATATCCAATTCACCCCTCCAGTCCGAAGAGCCATCGAGGACTTTCCGGATGAGGCCGAGCAGAGTACGATTGGCACGCTCAGCAGAGCCCTGCGATTGAGGGTGACGAACAGCACCGGTACGCACGCGGACACCCATGAGACTGAACAACGACTCCACAATGGCATTACGAAATTCCGTGCCGTTATCCATGCGGACAATGTCGGGGGCACCCCAGAGCTTGCATACACCAGCGAAAGCAGCGGCAACAGACACGGCATCATGACGACGCAGAGGGATGACTTCAACCCACTTCGTAAATGAGTCGACACAAACCAAGACACAATGATGAGTCGCACTCTTGTCGAGACCAAGTTCAAGAGTGTCGATAGTGACCTCGCCCCACGGACGACCGGGGATATCGGGTCGAGAGGCAGCAGCAGCAGGTCCCCGCAGAGGACTGGCAGCACGGCAATCAGCGCAATTGGCAACAAACTCCTCGCATGCACTACCCATGCCAGGGAAGAAGCAGCGACAGCGCAGCAAGCTATACATCATGGACCACGAACCATGGCCAGAATTGACATGAGCGGCAGACAGCACAGAAGAGATAACCGAGACTGGAATGACAGGCACCAGCACAAGGCCGTCAACAGGCAACTTCACACTGCGAAACAGAACACCATCACAGACCACTAACTGGGGTCTCACCTTGCTGTACTCATGAGCAACAGGCAAATCCTGCTCGAGTTGAGTGATCACAGTCTGAATCAGTTGGTCAGTACTCTGAGCAGAAGTAATGTCAGTCAACAGCACAGGACCAACAATGGTGGCAACCGGAGTTGTCACGGCAGCACTAACACTGGCAGGTGCAGCAGCAGTAGCGGTCAACTTCTTACTCAGCTGGATCCACGTAGCAGGGACTCGAGTCAGGACGTCAGCAGGGTTGGCGGCAGATGCTACCCACTCGATGGTGACACGGAGCTGTGCGCTGACAATCAGGTCAGCAATGATCTGCAGGCGGCGTTGAACCAGGACATCATACAGGCCGCTTGTCTTCACACGGCGCACATTGTTGACGACATCACGGAGCCAGGCAGCTGATGTTTTCGAGTCGGTGACCAGACGGACAGAAGAGAATTTCCAGGCCACGGCGAGAGAAAGGCCCTTGATTGCAGCCTCCAGCTCAACGACATTGATATGTCGCTTGTCGTCTTTCGGACGTAGCCACGAGCGATCTTCCATCACTTGGCCATCAACGGACACGACTACACCCAGGCCAACATCAGATGCATCGACATACACAGCACAGTCAGAACCACCGTCAGGGCTCGTCCACCACCGACCACGTGCAGGGTCACCATGCTGTTGCAGCTTGGTTTCAACCTCCGTGCAGAGCCGCAAGACATTATCGGGGACCGGGTCGTCCCAGGCGGTGCTCACACCAATCAGGCGCTTGATGAAGCTGCAAGCGGGACGGAGCCAGTTACAGATAGGAACATGGCCCGTCAAACGACCACACCAGCTAAATAACGAGCGCTTGGTAGCAGGCCGAGGCAGCTGTAGATCGACACCAGCGCGGCGCGACCAGTTAACGATGCCATCGTCGTCCTGAGCGAGCTGCAGACCAAGAACACGAGCAGTGATGAGTGGCTCGGCAGGTTTCGCCGGGAGACCAAATTCGGCTAAACGAGTAGCGAGTGCATCACGGCATGCAATGGGCGTGCGGATATCGTCGATGTAACTATCGACGCCTGCAAAGTCGCGCGTGACCCATTGGACAATCATCGTCAGCAGCTTCGGGGCGACATTGAGGCCAAAGCCCATCCGAGTCATAGTGTAGACACGGCCGTTCCACATCACTGTCTGGAACTTCAGCAAGTCCGGAGCGACACGAACTTGTAGATACGCCTTGCGGATATCAAGCAAACAGTACTCTTCAGGGCGGCCATCACTTCGCCAGCGTCGGAGGGCCTCCTCACACACAGGAGCATCGCGACCAGGCTGCGAAGTAAGACGGCGGTTCAGGAGACGATAGTCCAGACACGGTCTGACCGGTGTGGTGCCCTTGTGCTCCTGTACTTGAGCCAGCAAGGGTAGAACAGCCACAGGGTCACCATGAAGTTCCCGATCATGGGGAACGAGGAAATCACTATCCAGCCACTTCTGAACCTCGGCCTGGAAAAGACCCTCTTGGTCTGGTGTCAGCTTGGAGCGAGAATACTCGCCGATGCCATGGCCGACAGGCTCGCTGGGTGCAACATCATCTTTCCAGGTCCATTCACCTCCCAGTACTGCTTGTCCGCACGCCATCTGGCCTCACCATCATCCTTATGCAACACAGTGTCATCACCATCAGAACTTACGGACACATACGGAGAAGGATGCACCATCGGAGGAGTTCCTGGAACAGCTGCAGTCACGGCCTGACCGAAACGGACACCACACAATAAGTTGTCATCGTCGTACTGTAGGCTGAGACCACCAGCTGCAGCAATTAGGTCTGTCCCGATGAGCACGGAGGCATCCACAGCATCCAAACTCTTGACGACAGTGGCTGTAACCTCGATTGGTGAGAGATGGACTGGGCCGTCAGTACGTTTCAGCGTCAGGCGAACAGTCCCAACGACAGGCAATGGTTGGCCATCCAAGGCAACGAGCACATTCGACGTGCGATCGACCGGGCAGTTGGCGGGCAGTATTGAGGTGCAGCTAGCAGAGATCAGTGTATGGGTTGACCCACTGTCAATAACAGCGGTGACACGTTCCCAGTTACACTTGACACCACAACGACGTACGTCCGCATGCATTCTCGGGAGGGTGCCAGGACCAGAGGCACTTGAAATGCACAGGACTGGGGCTTTCTTGTCAGCTTTTGACACCCCGGCAGCAGATTTGCCAGCGGAAGCCGCCATCCAAGCTTTGCGCTCCGGGCACGTAGACTTGACATGGCCAGGCTTGTCGCAGAAGAAGCATGTTCGTTCTCCACCGCCATACCGATCATGGTGCCTCTTTCGGCGAGGACAGTTCCGCTGAATATGTCCAGGCTCGTGGCACTGGTGGCAAAATACGCTGCGGGACGCACCTCCATTACCTCCAGGTGCAGCACTGGCGACCACCATCGGACTGCGTGTACAATCAGCATGCGTAGCTTGTAGAGCACGTACCTGCTCCACGCACTCAGACACTTTCAATTTTTTCCCAGCAGTGGCCATGCGCAGGGGCTGGATAAATTCTACGGGTAACCCACTGATGAACTGTTCTATCACGACAGTATCCTCATCATCAGTCGCGCTGTGACCAGACAGGCCCAGCAACCGCTGCAGATCGGCGACGTACGCGTCCACCGACTCATCGGGTTTCAGCTTACGCTGTACAAACAGGCCGTATGCCTGCGACTTCGTCACGGCGAACGCAGATGACAACTTGCCGAACACAACATCCGGATCTGCCTTGTCGGTGTCCGACAATCGATCATACACAAGAAACGCGTCGCCGTCCAGAAAGAGCGGAAGGTGTTTCATCTTGTCGTCGTCCGACGTCCATTTTGATATTTTGGCCAACACACCAAATTTCGAGCGAAATGCATTGAAATCGTCCCCCTTGCCCTTGAAGGGACGAAGGAAATTGTCCAGCTTGAGACCCATACTGAACAGAACACACTACGAATAACGATACTAAACGCTAGTAGAACAGCTTGCGGGAAACAAGCACGGGCACCGACCACTGCCACAAACGCACCAACACAGGTGAACACTACAACACGAACGACCCAACGATCCTCAAATCCAAGGCGGGTTTCGGCACCACTCTGTTGTGTAACGCATGCACAACAATTATTCACCACTTCTACTCCGCACATGCACACAGCACTCACAACGGCGGACTCTGACAGTAGTGTAAATAAAAGGACTGATACTTGGAAATGAATTAGTTAGGTAAGGATATAGAAAAACAACAACTCAATCTTGGGAGAGCTAATCAACAAGGAGAAATAAAACCGGAACTCCACGGAACCGGCGGGGGCGGGGCAAGACGACGTGGACAAGCCCGGCTGACGTGTGCGAGTACGCACGCGGCGCGGTCAATGGGGCTTCGGCCAGCAAGCGTGGGGACGCTAACCTTTGCAGCAAGCGCAGCATGCAAATAAGGCAGAAGGCAAAAGCAATGCGCATGCTCGCAATAATGACGCGTAGCTGATAGGGCATGACGTCAACACAACTCGTGAAAATGCCTACGCAAAAATGTGTTCGAAAAGTAACCGTGAGCTACGATGCAGGAAACAACCTCTGCGATCTGGCAGAAGATGAAACAATTTGAAACTAGACAAATTGACAGTCAGTGAGTCAGAGAAGAAAGGAAACATGATAATAGCAAAAGAAAGGAACAGAGCGGGCGCGGAGAATGCAGAGTATGGATAACAGAACAGAACGGTAAGCAAAGTCTCAAAACGAAGAACACGACGTACAAATTCAAAATCTATAACTTGAAGCAATAAATAAACGTGCAGTATGGTATCAAATACTTGTGGAGAGAGAGGCGAACTATTCTACTTCAAGATAGAGAGACAGAGAGAGAGAGAGACAGAGAGAGAGAGAGAGAGAGAGAGAGAGAGAGAGAGAGAGAGAGAGAGAGAGAGAGAGAGAGAGAGAGAGAGAGAGAGAGAGAGAGAGAGAGAGAGAGAGAGAGAGAGAAAGAGAGAGAGAGAGAGATAGAGAGAGTGAGAGTGAGAGAGAGAGAAGGAGAGTAGAAAGAGTGAGAGACACAGACAGACAGTTCGGCAAAAGTTTGATATCCATACGATGACACACCAGCACAGGTCCAGTCAAGGAATTCGGGCAATCCAACGGAAGATAGGCGGACCACACAGTAAGAGCAAAACTAGACTGATCGATACTGATCTCTTGTAACGTTCAGACGACTGTATTCTTCAGAGTGATACTCATCATTCCCTAAAATACATCAGTATCAATCAGCTTACTCTTGCTCCTGTTGTGCGGTCCAGCTATCTTCCGTTGCATGGACAGACAGACAGACAGACAGACAGACAGACAGACAGACAGACAGACAGACAGACAGACATCCAAGCCAGCCAGAAAGATAGCTTACCTGTTCAGCGTTGCTCGGAACGGCCGGTGCGAGACATTTATTGATGATGGCTTCACAAACCTTCTGCCAGATTGCAGGGCCTGCATGCACACATTACACAGGGCATGCACACAAATACAGTCAACTCCACTTCCTGCATCTATGGGTCACATGATGTCGGCCATGTTGGTTCCACTGTCCACATGCCATGATCACTTTCTGCACAAATTTTGTCACATGACAAACTGATGTGAACACCACTCCATAGTGACATGGGTGGTGGCGTTCCTACGGATGCAGGAAACTCAGTCTGGCTAAGTCTCACGTGAACAGTGAAACCAGGGCCGAAGCTGGTCACCCTTTTAGAAGGGGGGGGGGACGACACGGCAGTATATGTGTAGGATGGCTGGTGCATGTCATTCATGGTCATTATGTGCTTGCTGAACCTATAGGTGGAAGTTTTTAGGGAGTGCACGTGCCCCATGCGAGCTACGTGCCTAGTGAATACTAACTTATACACATGTACTGTACTGCTTGACTGAACTCTCCATACTGTTGTGGACATTGAAATCCGGTGGAATGACGGGCCCAGGGCACCCTTACTGCCTTAGCGCGTACATGCACTGTAGTTCACGTAAACACTGTAAAACTGGACCAGCAGTGCTCACGGCTGCAAGGCCAGCACCCCCCACACCCCCCCCCCCCCCCCCGCACCCCCTGGCCGTTTGACTTCTCAACGGACGTCAATGTCCACAACAGTACATGACATTATGCCACGGGACTCACCTAGTTTGTTTTTCATCATCAACGACAGGTCGTCACCTGCCGAGGACAGGAAGCGACTGATGACGTCAAACAGCTCCAGAGTTGATCTGTACACAGCTACTGCTTGCACAAACAGAGACAGTATCCAAAAAACAAACAGAGAACAAGAGCAATGGTCTTGAAACTGTCAGCAGGGTGCAGGTATTCGGTTGTGTCGAAACTTATAAAGATACTCACCACATACCACAGTCCATTGCAACATAATAAGCAAACAGGCTGGTCAAGAAGAATGCATGGAGACAAAGGGAATTCGAATATCAAACCACCTAGAAGCAGAATGGCATGTTTGCTGGCATGGCAAACCCTTCTGTGCAAGAAGATCACCAACAGTACTGACCTGGTCTTTGATGCGCTTCCGTCTCTGCAGAGGCGGCATCGTCAGCAAGAGTGATCATGAAGCTGCGTGATAGCGTCGTGACGGAAACTTTCACCCTGAAGACACACACATGCACACGTGCACGAACGAAATGAGCGAGCCACGGGATGAAAACGAAACGAGGAAAATGCGAATACCGACCATCGATCGTAGCACATGAGAAAAGTGTCAGGTTTTTGCAAGTTGTCGCATTACCGTATTATCTCTACTACAAGCCCAAGTCTCTTGTAGAGGCCCAGTCTCTATTATAAGCGCACTCCTAGAGGGCTTCGAAGATATACAAGCGCAGTCTCCAATATATGCGCAGGGCTTATATTGGAGAACCGTATGGATCATGTCCATGCATGTTTGACGTCACACAGGATCACATAAACACATGCTGTGGTAAAAGTCTGTGATCCCCGAGATCTAAAGTTCAGATTCAGTGTACCAGGAAGCACAAAACTGCAGTCCCGGTACCTGCTGGGAAACGTTGTGCTGCTGATGTAATGGAAAATAATTGGCAGTGTACATGTACCAGGTGGTTTAAAAATTATAAGCCCAGTCTCTAGTATAAGCCCAGTCTCTAATAGAAGCCCAGTCTCTAGTAGAAGCCCAGGGTCGGAACTGGTTGAAAACATATAAGCGCTGGGATAATACGGTATTTATTCGTGGGTTGAAACTTGAAAGCATGCAGTCAAATGGTCACTAGGTCTAAAGATTGTGTCATTATTTGTTAGCTGTTGTTATCCTGAAGATGGGCCTGGCTCGGAAATTGGCACTTTTTATTTTTTTGGGAATAATTTGTAGCCAAGAGATCGTTTTTGGGCAGTGGTGTATAACTGTGTGAAACATGAACTGTGGCTACAGTGGAGTCTGCACACCCCGAGGAAAGTTTTTATACCCGAGGTTGGTGTTCATGAGTTTAAGGTCGCGCTCCCACATGCACTTGAGACCTGCGGATCCGTTGTCTCGTGAAGACCGGGTGACCTGAGTGGAGGGGAGTATACATTACTGAGTGTGTGTACGCTGCTTACCGAGAGCTGATTGTCGGCACGAGGAAATACTTCAGGAGATTCTGACCTGTACACGGAAAAGAGGCAGACGCACATACATACACACACACACAGACGCACATACATACACACACACACACACACACACATACACGCACACACACACACACACACACACAGCACCACCGTAACGTTAGGCCCGGTTCAGACTACTCTTGAAAGCACATACAAGTCACATTTCTGTGAAAGTCGTCGAGGCGATCTCGAGGATTTGGCGCAAAAACAAACATACTAGTAAACGCAGCTTGTTATGGTCAACGCAAACGCAGGAGCATTGTAGAAAACAACTTTTCACGTTTTCTTTGAGTTTTCAGTTTTCGATTTTCCGAGTCTCACGCACCCTGTATCTTTTAACCTTTTTTTCTTCCCGTAATGCTCATTTGGGCCTTGTACTCTTCCCCGGTTCTTCTGCATTCCGTATATTCCTTCTTGCAAATATGACCACGTGTGTAGATGCAAGATTGATTCCTCTTTAGACTTTAGTTTGACTTGTTACTTCGTTGAGTAATGTCACGTGCCTCTCAGTCATCATGGTGTCTCCGTCCTCTTCTTCATCTTCCCCCTCTATCACATCTGGGGAAAAGAGGACCCGGCGGTCCACTGCCGACGAGGATATTCTCCTCTTCCGAGAAGTACTCTCACAGGAGAGCCCATTAAGCCGTGGACCTTGTCGCTCATGTTCTGCAGCTCCGCTTCGAGTCACTGTTTGCTGGGTTCTCCTACCCATGTGTATATTTCTTCACAAAACCAAAAACCGGTTGGCAGGATCAGAATCTTGAAGAGATGAGGCAGATATACGATGAGTTCATTAAAAATGGCAAGGGTCAAGCAGACCGCAGTTTCTTCGGTGGCCTATACTTTGATGAGGTCAAAATAAAGGAAGGTCTCATATGGGACAAACGAACAGACAAGGTAATCGGCTTTGTCGCCGTCACGGCAACGAAGAGCAGGGTGATGACCTTGCCACTCATGTTCTACAATTCCATTTCAAACCACTATTTGCAGGGTTCTCCCACCCATGCGGATATTTCTTCACAAAGTCAGCCACTGCAGACGACATGCGATGCGACCCTGCTGTCCTAAGGTGGTGTCTACAGCAACATGCTCGATCAGCCACAACCTATGAAGGAATGCGTGACATACTTCGCTTGCCATCAAGCAGGACCTTACTAAATTATCGCAACTATACAACACCGAAAACTGGTTGGCAGGATCAGAATCTTGAAGAGATGAGGCAGATATACGATGAGTTCATTAAAAATGGCAAGGGTCAAGCAGACCGCAGTTTCTTCGGTGGCCTATACTTTGATGAGGTCAAAATAAAGGAAAGTCTCATGTGGGACAAACGGACAGACAAGGTTATCGGCTTTGTTGCTCACGGCAACGAAGAGCAAGGTGATGACCTTGCCACTCATGTTCTACAATTTCACTTTAAGTCACTGCTGGCACGGTTTTCCTACCCATGTGAATATATCTTCACAAAGTCAGCCGCCACTGCAGACGACATTGGCGACATGCGTTGGCGTGGTGGTGAAAAACTACACTAGTACGGGTTTACCGTGCTATTGGGTTGCTGCGATGGCGCAGCAACAAACAGGAAATTCATCTCTACGCATGCCAGCAAAGAGAATGCGGGCCGGACTCTCCATGCATATGGCAATTGGTCCCTGTTATTTCTCTCAGACCTCACACGCCTGGTAAAGAAGCTACGCAACAACCTCATGAAGAGTGGTTAGTCGGACACATCAAAATGGCTACAGAAACCCAGGCGGGATGTCGCTCTGTAGCGTCATATCAGAGACGCATATAACCGAGACAAGGTTCGCCCACTTCATTTTACCCCGCTGCGTGAAGAACAAGTCATCTTAACATCGCTATCACTCATGAAGTCGTGCTTGGCGTACGATGTGTTTAGTGAACGTGTGGAAATGGAGCTACAGGATGAGCAGGCAAATGGTACTCTGGGTACACTGGCAGTACCTGAAACGCGCAAGGTCCATCATCAACCTTTTCTGCTCAAAGCTTTGCTCCAAGGGCGAACGTAGGTGAACGCAACGTTTGGAAGAACCAGAGTACCAGCGAAAAATCATTTTCACCGCGCCTCTGCCGTAATCGCATCAATGACTTGGTCAAGGAGTTCATATGAAACGACAACAAGGAGAGGGTGGAAACTGGAGTACCAGCGAGAAGTCATTTTCTCTGGCGTGATCGTGTAAAGGACTTGATCAAGGAGTTCATATGAAACGACAACAAGGAGAGGGTGGAAACTGGAGTACCAGTGAGAAATCATTTTCACCACGCATCTAGCGCTGCCATGACTGGGCGAAGGACTTGATCAAGGAGTTCATACGAAATGACAACACAAGGAGAGGGGTGAGTAAGCACACCACACATTACTGTAGAGCTCTGTAGAACAGACGTGTACACGTGCACATTGAAAGGGAGATAAACTTGAATCAGCCCAGTGATTTCTTCTTTTCTTTTTTTTCGTGAAAGAAGGACATCCTGTACTGACTCGACTGTAAGGAACGCCGAGAGAAGTACGGTAAAACCTGTAACTAAAGACCACCGTGACTAGCGACCGGCCTGGTACTACAGACCACTTCGCCAGGCACGGACGGTCTCACATTCATATAGCTGTGCGGTGCAAACCTCCAACTAAAGACCACCTGCCACTAAAGACCGCTTTCTCCGGTCCCAAGGGTTGGTCGTTAGTCACAGGTTTTACCGTATGTCGGAGAGTCTGGCCGTAGCTCGGCATCCCGCCCAGTAGAACACAATAGAGAGGTTATTAAAGCTGCACGTTATCTTTGACGTGACGCGAAAGTTCCGCTCGCGTTATTTGGCTCGCGCGTCGGAAAACAACGCGAGTGACCTGCAGCTCATGTCCAAATTTGGAATTTTACGCCAAATTTGACGTGAAATTGCGCATCACGTCAGAAATACGGTAAGTTTAACCTCTGTAATGCTGATGCCCGTAACTGCACCCCTGCTACCCTATCCAGTGAGTACTATGGGAAACAGCATGCAGATACCCAGCTAGCGCTTTCTCAAAAACCGCACTCAGCAGTGCATCAGCAATCGTCCGAGGACAACGCAATAAGGCTCCGCGCCAATCGAAATTTTGCATGTACAATACAGTACTAGTCTACTTATTTTGCTAAACTCTGAAACCCGGATTGCTGAAATATTTCATCGCGAATTGGTTCTGGTTTAGACAACGCTAACAATTTCACCTGCTAAAAATAGCCTATCTACAGTGGTAGTACGTATGGATTTGGCACAGTGGACCACCTAACCACCACCCAGCATTCAGGAACTAAATTACTTCATGTACATGTACTGTAACCCCAAAACATTTCTTGGAGTTTACTTTCGTAGAGTTTGCGACTTTGTGTTCCCAACACAACTTGCAGCTTTCTTCAAAAATATCCTCAACCTTGGTTCTGTCCTAGATCGTATATACATGCATTCATTGTTTCGTCTCATCATCATGGAGCAGCTTATGCGAAGGCTAGCCAAGCTTGCTTGGCGATGCCAACGCGGAAAAGCCTATAATAATAATAACTGTAATGTCACGTATAAAGACCAGGCGTATTCCTGTAGAAGCCAATGTCAGGGCTAGGTTTCTATTCAAACCAGGGGTTTTCTATTCAAACCAGGGGTTTTCTATTCAAACCAGGGGTTTTCTATTCAAACCAGGGGTTTTCTATTCAAACCAGGGGTTTTCTATTCAAATCAGGGGTTTTCTATGTACGCCAACACTAAAACATGTGCCAGCGGTACATCTTGAAAGACAGGCGTGTGTTCAAAACAGGCTCCTATACAAGACATCATGGTTGTGACTGAAGGCCGATTCACAATACGACTTTTTGCGACACGACACGCGATTTGCTACAGTTGCACCAAGAAAATGCCTGTCGCGAGCTGTCGCGTACAGTCGCAAGGTGCCTGTCACAGAAGTCGAAGAAAGTTCAACTTTTGTGACGTGCGACATACACAAATGGAGCACAGTTTCTGCTCTGCACTGCACGTGCATAGTACATGCACTGCATAGGAATGTCGCAAACAGGTAAAACATTGTGAAACGTGTGTCGCGATCGCAGCTAGTCGCAGGTTTCGCAAGGCGCGTCGCAAAAAGCTGTATTGTGAATCGACCTTGAGTCTTTCACAGCTTGATTTGCTGTTTTGTCTACTCAACATTGTAGTGAGTAGAAGTGCATGTGCAGCTGTGAGTACAAGCAGAACAAGCAGTACAGTGAGACTATGAACATGTAACTGTTACTCACCTAGTTCCAATACCTCCCTCTCCAACACACCTAGTAACTGGGCAGAACAACACCAACATCAGCAGCACACAAACAACATCGTGATTATGATGACTGGCCCGCCAGGTACGTGTGTGTGTGTGTGTGTGTGTGTGTCTCTCTCTCTCTCTCTCTCTCTCTCTCTCTCTCTCTCTCTCTCTCTCTCTCTCTCTCTCTCTCTCTCTCTCTCTCTCTCTCTCTCTCTCTCTCTCTCTCTCTCTCTCTCTCTCTCTCTCTCTCTCTCTCTCTCTCTCTCTCTCTCTCTCTTACACACGCACACACGCACCCCCCCCCCCCACACACACAGGAAATGGACTGTACCTCAAGGCATTGCAGGAGCGTAGCCATGGTGATATCACGGCCGGTATGCACAGTTAGTCGACTGTTCAGCTCCAGGTTCATCGTAGAAGATGCTGTCGTGCGGTTGGCCGTTTTCGACAGGCTCAACTTGAACGCCTGCTCCCAGGCATTGCGCAGTAGACCGAGCAGATCACAGCGTTGCCGGTCTAGCTCATCCTGCCAACAGCGTGGGAACACACAGCAGCAAAGCCAGGGAGGTAACTTGCAGGACAACTTGCAAACGATGGCCACTGGCAAGAGTGCGCAACTTCCAAGAGCGTGCAATGCCCGATGATGTGCCTACATGTATACGAAGAGCTGGAATACAGAACCTGCTAAATCCGCTATGTCAAGCACTATCCCCTGAGTCCAAGACTATCTGTGCACATCTAAGACTACCCACTGAAGTCAAGTCTATCTGTGTATGTCAAAACACTAGACAGTGCAATCATGAGCGCACAGCATAATAATATCGTGATCACCAACCTTCAGTGAGAGGTAGATCTGCAGCTCACAGCCACCCGACAATGTTACTTGCAAATGTCCACTCTGCAGAGAAACAACAGAACACAGAGCAGGATGGAAGAACATCACCACAGAGAGTGAGAGAGCGAGCGAGCGAGAGAGGGAGAGAGAGGAGAGAGAGAGAGAGAGAGAGAGAGAGAGAGAGAGAGAGAGAGAGAGAGAGAGAGAGAGAGAGAGAGAGAGAGAGAGAGAGAGAGAGAGAGAGAGAGAGAGAGAGAGAGAGAGAGAGAGAGCTGACCCGGTGGATAGACTTTATTGAACAGTATTGGATGGCATCCAACCACTAGCACCAGCAGCAACACCAGCAACACCAGCAGCAGCAACAGTCGCAGCAGCAACAGCAGCACCAGCAGAGCCAGCAACACCAGTACGAACACGAGCAGCATCACCAGCAGCTTCAGCATTACAAGCAGCACTATTAAACCGGAGTCTTACAGCTTGCTTTAAGCGCTTGGCAGCCGATAGGTAATTAGAACACTCGTAGTCCTTCTGCGCCCCTTCAAATTCATCAAATATCTGCAGATGTGTGCACACACAGTATATACAAGCGAATGAAAAACACAGACAGTAAAATCCTAATCTGCCGGCTAGTGTCAGACCAAATTTGCTAGCAATTTTTCGAACAAAATATCGAAAATTCTTGAAAAAAAATTCAAGCAAGAAAACAAAATATTGATGTTTCTCCCCTAATCTGGTTTTTTCAAAGCTATTATTGCGCATATACAACTTGTACGATACACGTGACTCATTTTCGCACATTTTCGCCGACACGTGACTCACTTTTGGCCATTTTTAGAACATGTGATAATACGATGTTCGCCTCACATTGGAGCAAAAAGTCAGCAAAATATCGATGTTGGCCGAGCAAATTTGGTCTGACACTAATGCTGGCGAACACTAATAAGCAGATGAAGGAGGTCTTTCGTACAGCCGACTTCTGATATAATGAACACCATTGTGCAAGAGAATTAGTTCTATATAGCTGAGTTCGTAATAACTAGGAATGCACTTACACTATACAAGCAGCAAGGCGTGACTGGCATCTGGCCCATGACAGTATAAGTGCACTTGGTTTACATGCGGCCCTTCAAGATACGGTTCGTTACAAACGAAAATAGCTCACTACAAATGGTCAATCTTGTATGGGTTCAAACAGGAAACGGTCAATTGTTTCGCTGTATCACGAAATTCGCTATAATTCGCATATTATGTGAGTTCGTTATAAGTGGAGCCGACTGTACGTGTAGGCAAAGTATGCGATAGCTGCAGATGCGGAGGTGGTGGCTACACACCATGCAAGCAGCATGCCATGCGTCTGTGATAGTATGAGTGCAGTTACGAGCGAAAAACGGATCTATACACAGGGGCGTCGGAAGGAGTTTAACATTGGTGCAGCTAAAGTGTGAGAGGGGTCCGGGGGTCCTCCCCCGGGAAAATTTTTGAAATTTGGGCCTAAAAAGCCATATAGAATAATAAAAAGAATATGCATGCTGATGATACACCGCATTGTCAATGTAAAACATGGTACCTGTACAAGAGTCGACAAGCCACCAACAAGGTTGAAATGTAAAAAAAATCGAAAATTATTGGTGCGGCTTTGGCCGCACCTGCCGCACCGGTTCCGACGTCCCTGATACATACGGCAAGGCGGCCCGATGCTACAGTGCGTTTCAAAAATATAGACGCGTGCTTTCAAAAAACCGTTAGGCCAGCATATTCTATACCACATAAAATCACTTTGTGCATACAAATTTCAAAATTGGGTGTGTGCTATCCGATCGCTTAGAAATCTATGTGAGAATAACTGTGGAAAGGACTTGAGCAATATTCCATAAAAATTCTCGAAAAGCTCCAGCCTAATTTGAAATATTTCAAAAATACCATGAGTATTTTTTTTAAATGGACTGTGCATGCACGTCCTCAAACGCAGACATGCCCAGGGGTTGGCTACACCAGGGAACGTACACACATACACACGTACATGCACAATTAAGCAAAGAGACAGAAGACTTACGGCTAGAAGCTCGGAGAGGAGAGATATGTGACTATTGCACTCCTCCAGACGTGTCTTGAGCTTGCCCTGGTGTTGAGATGCCGCCTGTAGTGCTGGTTTACAACTGACCTAGAGAGACACACACGCACGCACGCACACACACACACACACACACACACACACACACACACACACACACACACACACACACACACACACTTGCACTTACACTGTGCTGTACAAGCAGAAATATTCGTCTGGAATTTAATTTCGTCTTTTTCGTCCAAGGAGCTTTTGGACTAAATTAAATGCCAGACTAATGTCGATTTGTCCAGCTTTTCAATACACTCTTATGATCCATGGACGAAATTTACAACCGGACGAACTCCCATTCTTTGGAGTTTGACGAAATTATTGACCGACGGAATTTTCTGCCCATAGAGTAACACATGCCCATCACTGAAGCGATGATAGCGAACAGCTACGGTTAGACATAGCAACTTACGCTGAGATTACACCATTCAATAGCTTGCAAGGCTGATGAAATGACCACCACTAATGTTAGCCTGGTCTACACCACACAGCTATGAAGTGGCTTTTCGAACTGATAGAAAAGTCTTTGCAATACAAGAACATGAACCCGTGTACCCGATAATCGTATTGCAAGACGTTTCTATCAGTTCGAATAACACGCACAATGACCCACAGTGTAGGTAATTTAACACACATAACTCTAACTCATATACATGCATACATCACTCTAAATCGAAGGTATGCACACTCTACCAAGCACGGTATTTCCGGAGTACAAGCCGCTCTGGAGTATACGCCACACTGGAGTATAAGCCGCACCCCTATTGTTTTGCCACGAAATACAGATATCTACCCTGTCTATCACCTTTAATTTGATCATCGGAGTATAAGCCGCACCCCCTTTTTTGGGGTGAATTTTGAGTGTTCAAAGTGAGGCTTATACTCCGGAAAATACGGCACAAAGTAGACTGAACTTTACCTGGACGCGATCACTGAGGCTGTCCATGTCACGTGACAGGCGTTGAACCTTAGCACTCATCTCGCCAGTGTCATGGAACATTGGTAGAAACTCCTGATACTTCTCCTTGATCATATCGAATATTTCACCCTGGAGAGAGAGGGAGAGGGGGAGAGAGAGAGAGAGAGAGAGAGAGAGAGAGAGAGAGAGAGAGAGAGAGAGAGAGAGAGAGAGAGAGAGAGAGAGAGAGAGAGAGAGAGAGAGAGAGAGAGAGAGAGAGAGAGAGAGAGAGAGAGAGAGAGAGAGAGAGAGAGAGAGAGAGAGACAGTTGCGGCACGGCAGCTCGAGACAGTGCTCGATGCACCTAGGTGCAGAGCTTTGCACAGGTATAGAGGGTATAATATACTGGGTGAATGTCACTGTACTTGGCACGTACTTGGCAGTACTAGTAAGCACATCTTCTGTACATGTTGTTCTGATCTTATCAGAGTATGTGCTAAGCAGGTGTATGTATTATCATTTATAAGAGTATGGTGTACGGGGTGAATGTCGCTATATTTTGAAGTAAGTGCATCTTCAGTGCATGTTGAGCTTATCCAAAACACATAATTATGTGTGTGTTTTTTTGGACATACACATCCGCTACAGAATAATAGCTTATGGCCCTGCAGAGGGAGGGGGGGATATAAGGATCGTTGTATAGTCAGCCTTGCGAATGATGACCCTAGATTGGGCATGAGCAATGCGTTGTCATTCGGGGTCCCTTCTCATGAGGTTAAGAACTAAAAAAAGTATGCAATCAAAGTGGCACCATATGATTACTGGATCTGAAGATAGTGTAGCTATTCGAAGCTGGTGTTAAATCCGAGGTTGTTATTCGCGAGGTTGACTGTACTGAAGTTTCACTCTCAACGTACAATTACAAGGTAAAGTTTCTTATTTTTGTATACCTTCAACTCTCCCGCACTGATATCCAGGCGACCCAGGTACGTTTCAATCAGGTTCGTATCACCAGCTGCGCCGGCGCCGCTACCTCCTAGGCGAGTGGACGGCTTAGCCTGCAGGGCAGCCGCCACCAGTGAACTAGGCGAGTCCTCCATTGTCAGTAATGCTCAAACACTGAGCAGCTTTGGTCGTTGAGATATTCAACAAATCGGTACAAGCGCGTCAGTGTTGGGCGACCAGAAAGAAAACGTTCCTATTATTGTATTCTGGGCGAGATTAGCCCTTCAACTCTCGCCTCTTGCTTCCATGATTAGAACCACAGCAAGCTGATACGTACAGAGTATTTGCGATAGGAGAAATGCCAGAATGTTGGCATCTCCTGTCTGAAAATATACCCATCTCGCTTTATCTCGCGAAAAATGAATTTTCTAGATTTGGCGCCATATTTCAGACGTTTCCATGACATTTGGCTTGCAATTCACAATAAACCTCCCAATTTCAACCAAATGTTGGTACAAAACCGAAATGTATGAAGTGTAAACCTCAAATCGCTAGGGGGCGATAGATAAAACTCGGTTCACATCGGGGACTTCCCGAGAAGTCTTCCCGACTTCGCATGACTCGTGAAAAATTAGCACCGTAGCCGTTTGACAAGTCGAAGTCGCGAAGTCTCACATTTTCCAACTCCCACTTGCTCTGGAGTACTCTGACTGAAGCATCCAGTCCAGCAGGTGATCAAGGTGAAAATAAACTTTGCAAGTGGAGAAAGCATGTGGCCCGCAGGTCGTCAAAGTTTGAGCTCGCTACGTTCCCTCTGCCGTCAACCAGTTGCAATGGCTGCCCGCCACGATTCGACCAGTGCAATGCCAAGGAGATTGACGGGGAAAGTTGCCATCGTCACAGCGTCGACCGATGGGTAGGTGAAGTGTTTGTTGTCGAGAAAATCCTTGATCATGCCACCAAGCGCCCATGGCCATGGAGGGCACCACCATAAGTACACACTCGTGAACTGTGCGATCACAACTAGTCTTTTCGGCGATTTCATGTGCATGTACCAGTACTAATCTAGCTAAAAGATATGAAGAGTATATAAACGTCACTAATACCAAGAGTACATCACGGGGGGTTATGTACTCTTGCTAATACATGTACATTATTCCGGAATGGGTCAAAATCTTTTTTCATGGGCAAAATACAATGCAATTTACTGTAGTGAAGGATTTGATTTTCAAATCTATTGTATGCGTAGATGCCATGATGTTGATGGAAACTGCGGAATGTACGAATCCTCGTGACAAGAAAGCACATCAACGAAAAGCAGAGCAAAGCAAGAAACATGTGCATTGGACAAACCTATGAATTGGTCAACTACATGACATTGTAGAATATCATGTCCCAGTGCTGCCAACCTTCCGTATTTTTAAAATCACTCCTTCGTTCGCATTACGGAATTTGAGCAAAATGTTACGGAAATTTGAAGAGGATCGATAAGCTGCAGCTGTGTATGTAGAAGCATGGCAAGCGCAAGCTGAGCGATGAATATCCCTGCTCCAAAGCGAGTGCATGCCATGCTTCGACTACATGTAGCACAAAAAGTCATGTCGTGGTACTAGTCATACATGTGTCATGTTTTGCACTAGCAAATCCCGCCACTGACAAGCATGTGAGTGTCAAGAAACACAGTTCAAACCACGCACACCGCAGTACATTGGCAGTACACAAAAACTCTGCAAAATACGGAAAATCAAAAGTCGCAGTACGCAAAACAGACCCAGTTGGCTGTCAGCATTGATGTCCCTCATCAACAGCATGGGCATTTCTCCATAGAACTGCAGTGGTCTCGTGCACTGGTGTATGTAAGAGCAGTCGGGCTGTGAGTCTCCCAAACTTTGCAGTCTGCGGGCGATTGATAAACAGAATCAACTGTGTCATGTCAGAATGGATTGATTTACTCCGTACTCTTCAGCATACCACACCCCTGATCTGTTTAGTGCACTCCTTTACTTTGCTCTCTGTCTCTCTCTCTCTGTCTCTCTCTCTCTCTCTGTCTCCCTCTGTCTCCCTCTCTCTCTCTCTCTCTCTCTCTCTCTCTCTCTCTCTCTCTCTCTCTCTCTCTCTCTCTCTCTCTCTCTGTCTCTCTCTGTCTCTCTCTGTCTCTCTCTCTCTCTCTCTCTGTCTCTCTCTCTCTCTTTCTCTCTCTCTCTCTCTCTCTCTCTCTCTCTCTCTCTCCCTCCCTCTCTCTCTCTCTCTCTCTCTCTCTCTCTCTCTCTCTCTCTCTCTCTCTCTCTCTCTCTCTCTCTCTCTCTCTCTCTCTCTCTCTCTCTCTCTCTCTCTCTCTCTCTGTAACACACACACACACACACACACACACACACACACACACACTACAGGATCGGGCTGGCCATCGCACGTCGCCTTGCCCAAGAAGGTGCCCGCGTGGCCATCAGCAGTCGGAAGGAGGCCAATGTGACGCGTACCGTCGACACACTACGCTCGGAGGGACTCGATGTTCTCGGTGTACCATGCCATGTTGGCAAGGATGAGCAGCGCAAGCAACTTCTTGACACTGTAAGCTTGCCTTTGTGTTTGCTTCCATGTTGAGCAACCCACCTGTTATTATAGTATAGTGTGGTTTCACATCGATCACATGACACACAGGCAGCCATCTTGGATCCTACTCCACTCAACTCCTGCATCTATGGGTCACGTGATGTCGGCCATGTTGGTTCCACTGTCCACATGCCATGATCACTGTCTGCAGAAAGTTGATCACATGACCAAGATGTGAACACCACTCTCTAGTCTATATCCACCTATAGAGAGTAGGCTGGTGCTGGTAGTGCGCACTGTATGTCTGGTTGGCGCGGCACTCCAGACCTCAGCACCACCACCGCCGTCACGGTTCACGTCTGCTTACTTCTTCTGCTGCATGTCAGGGTTGGCATTTTAAATTGAATGCGGAAACTACCGTATGCAGGCATGTGCATGGAGGCCTGAAACATCCCAATTCCCTACCCATTGCAGCCCTACTTTTAAAATCATTTTCTTTGTTGATGTTGTTTTCGTGTTTCTCCTATTTTGATACATGTTGTGTAGACACTGTCTACGTGGGGGCAGATTGATATCTTGGTGTCCAACGCTGCCGTCAATCCGGTATTCGGTCCAACGTTGGAAGCGTGTGACGGTGCCGCATGGGACAAGGTTAGGGTGTGGGTGCATGTGTGGGTGCATGTGTGGTTGTGGGTGTGTGTATGGGTGTATAGGTGTATGTGTGTGCATGCGTGTGTCTGTGTGTGTGTGTATCCCAGCACAAGTTGCTATGTCTAACATAGCTGTTCGCTATCATCGCTTCCGCGATGGGCAGGTCTGAGGTATATGTGTATAATATTATGTGTGTGTGTGTGTATGTGTATGTGTACATGTGAGTGCTGCCTGCATGTCATCTAATTCCATCTGTAAGGACTACTGTACTTGACTGTGGCAGGGCCTGTGTTGGTTATTGTGGCTGGCTACTACTAGTACACGTACTTCATTACCTGTACCAAGAGTAAATAAGGTACTCTTGCCTGTACCTAGATCAGGTTTATTTATGATTATTTTATTTATTTTACTAGGGTGTTTCCCACAGACCTATGGTCTTCTTACGGGAGCCCCTAGAGGTGTATCGCATTGTATCGTTTGTTTGTAAGTTCCCGTCTTTGTGTACGTACAGGTGCGCTCACTGAAACCCGACCCAACGTGCAAAGCTGGCGCCCTCAACTTGCACGGCCCTTGACGCCCTGGAAGTGGCACGAATGCGGCTGGACGTACACATGTACACATACAAAAATGTACATGTGGCTGTACTGATGAGGCCTTTATGGCCGAAACAGCTTGCTGTCTACAGCATTGGGTATACAGTAATGTACATGTATTGGGAACTGGTCCAGGGCGCCAGCTTTGCACTTTGGGTCGGACGTCAGCGAGCGCAACTGTAGCACTCTCGATTCAGTTTGTTTGTCTGCTAGGTGCAGATGGAACACTAGTGACGGGGCCGCAGACAGTAGCACAATTGATCACCATGCCATGATGTCATACAAAGAAGACAGACGCAAACAGTAGACCGTCTTCTCCTCTTTTTCATACCTACTATCATGGCTTATCCTGCTTTGCATGGTGTGATGCTGTTCCTTTTGTTGTAGATCTTTGATATCAATGTAAAGTGTGCGTTCCTGCTCGCCAAGGAGGCCTACCCACACATGCGTCAACAGAGTACTGGTCGCATCATCTTTGTCAGCTCCATAGCCGCTTTCACACCACTTCCGGTATGTGTGCGTGTGGGGGGGGGGGGGGGGGTATGTGCGGGTGTCGTGTCTGTGTGGGGGTGTGGGGGGGGGGGGGGGGTGCACATTTCTCTCTTGCATGTACCGTACAGTTGCAAGCGTCTACTACACCTGGTACTGGTATGCTCCAACTTACCTGCCTGAACGGCGTATACGTGTACGGCTACGCTCGGTGAAATCCGACCCAGAGTGCACATTTGCAGCCCTCAACTTATACGGCCCTTGCCACCCTGTAAGTGATACGAATGCAGCAGCTGGATGTACACATATACAAGTACAGTGATGTAATCGCAACTGGTCCAGGGCCGGCTCCAGGTTTGTGGGTCGGATTTCACCGAGCGCAACTGTGGTTGAAAAGGAGCCAGTGTGCTGAGCCAGTGTATTGAACCAGTGTATTGATTGATATTATGTTGTTGTTGTTGTTCTTGTTCTTGTTCTTGTTGTTGTTGTTATTGTTGTTGTTGTTTTCTCAGGGTCTTGGTCCATACTCAGTGAGCAAGACAGCATTGCTGGGACTGGCAAAGGTGTTGGCTCGTGAGCTGGGTGACGATAACATCACTGTCAACTGCTTGGCTCCTGGTATTGTCGACACACGCTTTAGCTCAGCGGTGAGTAGGTACCGTAGATGTTACAGTCCATTTCAAAACTATAGACGCGTAGGGTTTTTGAAATATTTCAAATTTGGCTGGAACTTTTTGAGAATACTTTTCGGAATATTGCTCCGGTCCGCTCCACAATTACTCTCATATTATAGTTTCTAAACGATTGGATAACAGACGCCCAATTTGGAAAAATTTATGCACCAAGTGATCACAGATGTTATGTGGTATAGATGCTGGCATAACGGTTTTTGCCTAGGTACGCGTCTATAGTTTTGAAATGGACTGTAGTGATGCTGCTGCTGTTTCAACTTTATTCCCTTGTTGCTGCTGCTGCTGCCGCGAGTGCTGCTGATACTGCTGCTGATACTGCTGCTGCTGCTGCTGCTGCTGCTGCCGCTAGTGCTGCTGATACTGCTGCTGCTGCTGCTGCTGCTGCTGCCGCTAGTGCTGCTGATACTGCTGTTTTATCTTTATTCCCGCGTTGCTGCTGCTGATAATGTTGCTGTTGCTGCCACTGCTGTTGCTGCTGCTCCTGATGCTGCTGCTGCCACTGCTGTTGCTGCTGCTCCTGATGCTGCTGCTGTTAGTGCTGCTGTTAGTGCTGCTAGTGCTGCTGTTAGTGCTGCTAGTGCTGCTGTTAGTGCTGCTAGTGCTGCTGTTAGTGCTGCTAGTGCTGCTGTTAGTGCTGCTAGTGCTGCTGTTAGTGCTGCTAGTGCTGCTGCTGCTGCTGTTAGTGCTGTGCATGTACACACGACACATGACATGCTTACTCCGACAAGATTGATGTGCGTCTCTTCACTGATGTTGTTCTAAAATGTTGGTGCGTGTAGTTTTGAAATTTGCTCTTTTGTGCTGTGTGTGTGTTTGTGCTGTGTGTGTTTGTGCTGTGTGTGCGTGTTCTTGTGTGTATGATATTAGCTAACAAAGAGTGATGCCGGTTCCAAGATCACGGAGCAGACGTCGCTGGGACGCGTGGCCGTTCCAGAGGACATGGCCGGTACGGTGGCATTCCTGGCATCGGATGACGCACGCTACATCACTGGCGAGACGATTGTCAACGCCGGCGGTATGACGTCACATCTCTGAGACGACAACTACCACTATCACACACAGTACCAGGAACAGCGGCAGTGGTTGTGGTGGCTATCTCCGCACCACCCTGGTGCCAGTACGATCTGTACTGCACTCGACAGTGGTGATGTGTGGGTGTGTGGGTGAGTGTGTGTGTGGGTGGGTGTCCGCACCACCGCTGTACCAACACGACCTGCACTCCACTTGACACAGTGGTGATGAGAACTGGATGTGCTACTACTGAGTACTGTACCAGTGCAGCTGTCATCATCAACTGCGCTTTGCCCATGTGCTGTGCTGTGGCTAGCTGGCATGTAAGCTACAGCTCAGCCATCGCATACGCAGAGTTACCCTGGTCACCATGATATCAAACAAGTGATCTATGGTGATATGTAGCCACGCAGGAGACATGGATAACACCTGATCAAGTGTGGCCATGCTCAACTCTCTTTTGTTCGTTTGTTTCGTCCATGTTGTTTTAAAACCTCACTCTGGTTGACTACAAAGTACTAACTGTGAAATATCTCATTAGTTCTCGCTTCCTGTTTGCCGCGCCGGAAGTTTCGTCATGCTCCTAAGTCCTATTAAATTTTACACACTACCCAGAGTCCTCCCCTCCTCATAGCAGTTTGACGTTTCCTTATATTATAACACTTTTTTTCTTTCTTTTTTATTAATTTGCACTTCATGTCGTCTATATGTTGGAGTCAGCGGAAGTTTTCCTCACTATAACCAGTGGTTGTGCTGTATGCAAGACGTGTGGGTGGGCCAAGAGCGTGGAGTGGTGGTGGGTAATGGTTGTTCTATGTTTATCCTATTTATACAGTGGACTCCACTTATAAGCTATAACGAACTCGCATGGAGCGAATTTCGTGATAATTATAGCGAACCAGTGTCCATGTCCCTGTTTGAACGGTTCATTCAACTCGTACAAAATCGCCCCAGGTCCCTTTATAGCAAACAGTTTTCATTTATATAAAAAAAAAATAATAAATTTGACGGGGTTCGCGTACCGGGCAGGTCAAGAACAAGGAGTCGTAGTACTCCCTGGTCAAGCAATTATTATGATGAACCATATCTTGTGGGGTGCCCGGGTCGCATGTAAACTAAGTGCAATCATACTGTCATAGTGAGTTGCTTGTATGGTGTGAGTGCATTTCAGTTATAACGAACTTCGGCTATAGAACTAAATCATGGAGTCAACTGTAGATGAAGTGCATGCAGCTGTGGGCCAGTGATCATACGACGCTATAGCTAGCTGTTCCACACCTTTCACATGCCCATGCCGGATAGCCATAGGATGCTGGTTCTCACTCCAATCAATCCCCCGGCCCTCTGCATCAATGCAAGATGTATGCCGTGTTGGTTGAACTGGGTTCCACTGCCCACATATGCCATGTGCGCTTTCTACCTACCAGAGAGTACAGTCAGACCTCGCTTATCTGGTCCTCTTTTATCCGGACCCCTCGCCATCTGGAAGAAAACAGCTGGTTACAGATTTACTGCATACGTGATGCATCCAATAATAACTGGTGTTCGGTTATCCGGTTCCCTCGCCTATCCGGATATCTTTGTGGAAGACGGATGTGTGCGGTCAAGCGAGCCGGTCTGACTGTACTATGACTCCCTCATGAGTTGCTTTCTACACACACCTGTATCCGGTGTCGGGTGACCAAGGTGTGAAACCATTCTATGCATGCTGGATAGTAGCTCTAACATGCTATACATGGACCAAGGCAATCCTGGATGGTCAGCATGCATGCAGTTAAAATAATTCTAGTGTGCTAGCATGTGCAGCTACCAAAATGTAGCTATGCCGGTGTACCGATTATAGGTTGTAGCAAGAGCATAGCATATGGGGGGGGGGGGGGGGGGGTTATGTGCTCTTGGTTGTAGGAAGAGTACATTCGACTCCAGATATAACGAACATCATTGTGCAGGAGAATTAGTTCTTTATGGCCGAAGTTTGTTATAACAAAAATGCACTCACACCATAAATTCGCTATTAAATGCGAGTTCGTTATAAGCAGAGTCAACTGTACTTACAGTCCATTTCAAAACTACAGACGCGTACCTAGGCAAAAACCGTTATGCCAGCATCTATACCACATAAAATCTGTGATCACTTTGTGCATAGTTTTTTTTCCACGGACTGGGGGGGGGGGGGGGTGCATGTGGCAGCCGAGTAGAATCTACTGGGAATCCGGAGCCACATGCAATCAACCTCAGTCAGCCAGGGAAGCTCTCAATTTAGCTACGGCATAATGAACACACAGTGACACACAGTGACACACACACACACACCTCCCCCTCACACACGTGCACATGCTCATCAACAGTCCAAGCACAGCTGCTCTCAAGACATCCCCACATGGATTTCCTTTCATTCGTTAAAAACGTGCGTCGTTACAAGGACAATAAAAATGAGAGCGCGTGCACAGTACACATACTGTGTACGTTGTCATGGGTACAGAGCAGCCATGTGGGCCATCTTTACACGGGTTTATACAAAGTACATGACTGTTACAATATACATTGCATCGGATCAGAATATGTGCAAGTCAAATAGCAAAAAGGAGAAACGGACGAAGAAAATAGCAGTCGTGTTAATACTCTAGCATCGGTATGTACAGTGTTACATTAGCGGAAAAGGGCTTGCCATAAGGGAGTAGTAAAATACCGCTATCTTACTACTCCCTGCTTGCTACGCTGCGAGCGCTAACGTCATCTCTACTCTAGCGTGGCCAGGAGGCGAAGAGATTCAAACGGATATACAGGAAATTCGTATCAAGGATTAGATTCAGGGGCGGCGGCTGAGCTAGACGTGCCAGTGACGCCAGATCAGCCGCAGAATCATCTTGAACTGGTCAACGCACGCAAGCAGGTACACAGGAAATTAGCATGCCGACGACCTACGGTATGTGCATCCGAAGGAAAGTATGGGAGGAAGGAGGCGCAGTCGTATATATATATGAACCTTCTTGAATCCTCCACAGAGTGGGACGTATAATACAGAGGACGTAATTCGAATCAAGGCCTTTGTTGCACCTATGCTGGTATCCAGCCAGGAGGACTGGCACATATGCCGAATAGCGGTGCACACTGGAACACGGCACGTTGTCAGGGCGCCCTGGAAGTGAACACCACGAGTCCAGTGGCCGAGCTTGGATGGATGCGAGTAGGACAGAACCAGTCGCCGACAATCAGAATTTTCCGTGCATGCCGGTAGCCACCCCAGTTCCAGCACAACCACCGCCGCCGCGTGACTCAGAAGTGTGTGGCAGAAGTGTGAAGTGTGTGGCACACGTCAGCCAGCATTGCCCCCTACACAGGGAATTCCATCGGAGCATGGCAATACAGGCTGCCGCCACTGCTGCTGCTGCTGTTGCTGCTGCGGCACTGCACTGCACGCCTAGCTCTCTAGCACAGCAGTGAGAGCATCGAAAAACCGTGGCCGGTCCTCATATCTCATCTGTACAACTAAACAAAAACAAGAACAGAAAGAAGAAGAAAAACACTATTGCCATGAAGAAAAAATATGTTCTGAAGAAAACGTGCTGCAGAACGTCCCTACAGAGCAGGCGTGAGTGAGAGTATGCGCGCGCGCGCGCGCGCGTGTGTGTGTGTGTGCGTGTGTGTGTGTGAGAGAGAGATAGATAGATAGAGAGAGAGACAGGCAGAGAGAGACAGACAGATAGATACAGACAGAGACAGATAGATACAGACAGAGACAGACAGACAGACAGACAGACAGACAGACAGACAGACAGACAGACAGACAGACAGACAGAGAGAGAGAGAGAGAGAGAGAGAGAGAGAGAGAGAGAGAGAGAGAGAGAGAGAGAGAAGACTGAGATTCACCAAATGGTCACAATTGCACACGGTGCAGGGGTCTACCCCCATTGGAAACGGCCAAGTTTCCATAGCAGTGTGCTGTAGTCTATAGTGTTGTGGGCTTACCTGCTGGCTCAAAGCTGTCAAATTCGATATTGACTGCTCCTTTCATGTGACGAACAGCTGCCTCAAATGCTCGACTCAAGTAGCTACAAGTCGGAACAAGACAATGAAACACACAGGCACACAGACACACAGATACACATGGACAGACACAGACACATAGTTTTATCCACTCCCCACATAATTTTATTTTCATTATTCTAATTGGTTTGAAGAGACTCCCAAGATAGGTATCCATATACCTCTCGAGAGACTGTAAATAAACAATACAATACAAACGAGCTCACACAAACACACACATTGATTGGAATGTAGAACATTGCGCAACATTCGCAAGAATTGCACCAAAAGCAGAAATTCTTGATCACAGCTACTTGTCCAGTGCGCAAGCTAGCGTAGACAAATGAACACACAACAGATATGATCCTACATGTGAAGTCAAGCGGCCACGGGACGCTGGCCTTGCAGCCATTTTGCAGTGCGTACCTAAACTACAGTGTGTGTATGCGCTAAGGCAGTAAGGGCTCCGGCCCCCGGACATTCCACCGGATTGCAACGTCCACAACAGTACACGTAATTTAAAAATTGTAACTGATCCTACAGTGCTACAAGTCTTCTCCAGAAGCGAATCACAGATCACGGCAGGTGTCTCTTACTTCTTATGTGCAGCCTCTCTCACCGCTGGTACACCCAGGACTACACACGTCTCTGTAAACACAACAACAACAGCAACAACGACGAAGACAACAACAACAACAACAACAACAACAACAACGACGGCAGCGGCGGCAGAAACAACGCGAGAATAAAGTTGAAACAGCAGCAGCAGCAACAACAGCAGCAGTAACAAGAACATTTTGATCAGGAGACACACTTGTGCACAGCTGTACGCCGAGAATAGAGGGGTTGGGGAGGACAGAAAACACAAAAGGATGCCCCTTTCAATCATGCAGGGTTGCAGGTTGCAACAGGACAAATAGGCGGATGTAGGAAAGTTGGGAATTGCAGGACATACACCTCTGACAAGTAGTCGGATGTAAGGAAGTTGGGATTTGTAGGGCATACATCTCTGAATCTACCAGAGATTCCGGCCACTTTCCTTTGGGGAGCGTTCTTGAGTCTTTACAACTCTTCTCCTTGCCCTAAACATACTGGATCAGTACACTGTTGCTCAATGAAATGCGATCACGTGAGTCAACTTTGCACCCTGCACCAGTCCACATGCCAGTGTTCGCATGTCTAGGGCTGCACAGCGACCGGCACGTGCTTGACTGACGCAAACAGATTTCATTGAGCAACACTGTGGCTAAAGAGAACACAGTACAGTAAAATCTGTCAAGGCGACCACCTGTCCTAGAAGACCACTGAAACCAAGACCAAGGGATGCTATTTCCAGGGAAATGACTCTGGATAAGGAGATCACCTACATGTAGTAACAGAAACCAAGTTTTGAAGGTTCCTTGAGCGGTCGTCTTAGACAGGTTTCACAGTATCTGCGAGATGTGCTTTCATTGTTGGCACGCCATATGCACTGCTGCACACTACCGGGATGTGTTACTGTTGCTTTGAAGCTGCTTTTAGTGCTCTAGCCTCTAGTGCTGCAGCATGACATCACGATGACATCATCATGGTATCACTATGGCACAAGTTACACACAACGCACGCACACAAACGAGCACGTGCCCGCCTGCACTTCCACTTCCACATGCCCATCGCTGAAGTGATGATAGCGAATAAGCTAGATAGCCATAGTGCCTGTACACACACATGCACACACACATGCACACACACATGCACACACACATGCACACACACACACACACACACACACACACACACACACATACGCCCCCCCCCCCCCACACACACACATACTTACGGGGTGTTCCCCTGGCGGGAGCAGATAAAAGAAACGGTAGCTGCTGTGAGCGCTTGCGCTGTAAGCAAACATGGAAGCAAACACAAGAACACAAAGTGGTATGTATTAGCTTCACATCGGCCATGCACCGCTCACATTGGTCACAACCCTAGCAGACAAAGGAAAGAAATACATGTTGTGTATTATTCAAGCAGTGTCGCCGCACACACCCCCCTCTAGTAAAGATAAAGACAATAGTACAGATAAACTCATCAGATTCGGGCATGACCCTCTATCTGGACACCTCTGTGGACCCATCCAGGGATCGATTTATCCGGGTTCGCATCGCAGTTTGCGAATCAAAATTCACTGGCTGCGATTCGCTTTTCGTTTTTTATCGCCCAAAACTGCGATGCACTGGCCATGCATACCGGTATGTACAAAGACCATTCTGTACTGTTTGTGTGCAGTTCGCATGCGACTGTTGTACACACTGCTGACTAGGGAGTAGTATTTTACTACTCCAACCAACTGGCCGGCCCTGCTCAGTCCGCGCGCGGGTCGCGGAACGCGCTCTGTTTGATTTTGCCATTTTGGACGCTGCTCTAGCCACTGCTAAAGCTCTGGTCGACCGGTTGTACTCGTACAAGATGTCGACTGCACAGTCTGCAGTCTTTTTCTGCAGTCTTTTGAAGTTTTGTACACGGCGGCGACTTTCCCTGAAGTTCTCCTTTCTTCTTTCACTGTCAAGCTCAATTCAGTTTGTTTCTGTTCGACAAGACACAGTTGAAGTAGATGGTTCTTAGTCTCATGTAGCCAACATGTCAGTGAATCTGATCATTGTCCAGAAGCGGGAAAAAGAACTGGACGTGCCAGGAGTGTCGATTCGTTTCGATGAAGAAAAGGAGAAAAGCGAAAATTCTGTGCGCTTTGAACGAAGTGTCACGATCGTTTGAGCGCTTTCCTGAGCTTTCTTTGTGGAAGAAATCAGTGGAACTGCCCTGTTGAAGGACATAGTGTTGTGAAGAACTCGAAGTCTGATGGACGCTGAACATGTAACAAGCCCGAGCGAAAACCCTAACGTAAAATATTCAGGTCAACCGTTCGTTTGGAAAAGCAAATAGCAACTGCAGCTATTGTCCTCTTCTGTACAAAATCCTGCTATTGTACAGATATACATGTGAACTTTCGATGAAGGAAAACTGCTAATCAATACTGGGAGTTGCTAGTCAATTGTAAAACTGTGTAGCAGTGACTGCTATGCAAAGAAATCAAAGTAAATCGATCCCTGCCATCACAATGTGGACCCATCACTATGGGGACCCACCCATCACGATGGGGAAAGGACGGCAGATCACATGACCAGCATCAAGATGAAGAAAACATGTTTTGGCTGTGTACATAATACTCGGATGGAGAGCCAAGGATGAAAATTTAAAAAAAAAGAAGAGAGGGGCATAAGTTAACAAGTTATCCGTTTTGTCGAACACTAACAATTATAAGCAAAATACCGGTGAGTCAGAACGTGCAATGATTAACACAACACTGACTGTTGTGGATTCAACGACCTGATGCTTCACTGCATCACGTCTGGAATGCGTAAACAAACAGTCTTCCAACACACCGGCTGTGTACAACAATATTAATGTATGGGGTAACTGGTATTCTGCAAACGCTCAACTGTACAATGTACTACAACACAAGACCTGCATGATGAATGAAACAGATCCTTCTTCCTTTTCTCGCCATACATGTATGTCACTCTGCATGGTCACCATTACATACACATACACGCACAATCATGTACATTTTGTACATGTACCGGCATATGTATGAGTGTGGGCTCGGGGGCATCGAGGTCGGATCTTGCCGGACCAACCCAAATGGGGCTGCTACGGGCCTGGACCACACTGCTTACCGTGGTAGGCTGTAGATACCTGGCCAGCCTGGTGAGCAGTACGGTGTTGCTGAAGTAGCGATAGTGGGGAGAACTCTCGTCGATGTACGTGTAGGTGAACGATCCGGCGCTGACTATCTGCTTCATGTCCATGAAGAGACGCACTTGCTGGGACAGGGCTAGTTGCTGAGTAATGACACGGACAATACAAATGCAAAAAAAACATACGGTTGACTTCCACCAGCCAATCAACACACATACAAAGAGGAGACAGGGAGGGGGAGAGAGGAGAGAGGAGAGAGAGAGAGAGAGAGAGAGAGAGAGACAGAAAGAGAGAGAAAAGAGAAAATGAGAGACCGGGACATTCTAACCCAGACCTTCCCGTGCACTACTCTCCTCAAAATCAAGTCATTGCTTTCAAAATTTCCTAACGACAATTCAATTGCACAACGAGAGAACAAGGAAGAAGGCTAGGGGTGTGTCTGTCACACTATTCCTTGCAACAGATTGATTCCCTGGCAGAGATACACTACAATGTCATGTACGTGTGATGGTCTGTGTCACTGTCAAAAAATAACCCTCACTCGGCACATGCATGCACAGTATATCCATTGGATCATATTTTACCAGAACAAGCTGTTGTGCAGCAGAGGGGGATTTCCCCTCCAAACCAACTAACTGCCTGCATCGAATCCATGCACATACATGAAACTAAGGTAAGTTTGTACAGTCACCATCACCATGGCCAGAGGAGAACATCAACTCACATGCTCCAGTCCAAGTGCAATACCCTTGCGGAGCACGTCTGAGTTTGTTCTGGGCACAATGAGAAGTTGCAGAAAAGAACAGACGGCATGTTATACAGGCAGCAGATGGGAGAAAGGCAAACAACCAACACCACTTCAACAACCAACAATGAGAGGCTTGAAGAGAAGCAACCTTAAATTGACCAGAGCATACATGTCGGCAGACTTAGGAGAGAGAGAGAGAGAGAGAGAGAGAGAGAGAGAGAGAGAGAGAGAGAGAGAGAGAGAGAGAGAGAGAGAGAGAGAGAGAGGACAGAGAGAGAGAGAGAGAGAGAGAGAGAGAGGGACAGAGAGAGAGAGAGAGAGAGAGAGAGAGAGAGGGACAGAGAGAGAGGGAGAAAGAGAGAGAGAGAGAGAGAGAGAGCCTGAGAGAGAGAGAGAGAGAGAGACATCGTTTGCAAGAACACAGTGCAGTAAGAATACCTGGATAAAGCGTCGAGAGCTTTGAAGAAATTCGTTGAGTAATCCATTTGACCGTCCTAAGTATGCAAGCACGCAAGCATTCACCAACACCCACAAACACACCATGTACCATGTACCATCAAGAGTATAACCTCCCAAGAGTTTGCAACTCTGCATAATGGGGTCTCCGAAAGCGAAAACTCACATAACGTGTCTCAGATACGTTTCGCACGACGTACAAACGAAGGATAGCGTGCGCGCAATCCGAATATCTGCCATGATCATGCTGGGGATTTGCATACCCGCAGTGAGTTTCTGTCAGAGACTCGCGTTATTTGGCTCGCGCGTAGGGAAACAACGCGCGAGAGCTGTATCTCACGTCGAAATTTGGCTTATCACGCCAAATTGCAACCCAGTTTACGTGAAATTGCGCGTCACGTCAAAAATAACGTGCACAGCTTTTAAAACCTCTCTAGTGTAGTGTAGACTGCTAAATGAGAGTGAATCAGGTACAGATTTCACTAGCATCATTGACTTCACAGGAATACGACTTCAAGCAGCAGCCGAGCCCAATGGCAGTGCACCCACCCACCAAACCAGGTGAAACACAGACACAGACATAGACACAGGCACACACACACACACACACACACACACACACACACACACACACACACACACACACACACACAGAAGCACAGACACGTAGACACCGGACTAACCGTGTTTTCCAACAACCCTGTCAGTGCATGCACTACATCAGCGGCCGAAAACTGTACAACAACAACAACAACAACAACAACAGGAGCAGCAGCAACAACAACAACAACAACAACAACAACAACAACAACAACAACAACAACGACAACAACAACAACAACAACAACAACAACAACAACAGCAACAACAGCAGCAACAACAGCAGCAACAACCACAGCAGCAGCAGTAGCAGCAGCAGCAGCAACAGCAACCCAAACCAAAGAGAAAACAATTATTGGTAAAAATCCACCTAAACAGCATAAGTACACAGTGTGTACATGCACACACGCAATGCCACCCAGATGAAGTAAGCATTGACTTCACTCCACGGTACACAGAAGTTACTATGATTACAGTATCAGTAGCACAGCGGGCACACGGTCAATTCCTTCCGACCGCAGAGGCAGGCAAGGAACAGAACAAGGTCGCTTTCCTTGACCCAGCGTATCGGAGAGGTGTCCATCGCCTCGTTCTCATTGCTTTGATCTCAAACTCCCCAAGCAGAGGAATGCAAAACACACATTCTTGTGTCTTTTAAAACTCTTCAAGTAGGGCAAGGCAAAAGCAATTATTCTTGTCTCTCGGTACGGTAGGAGAGTTGCTAGTTCCTAAGACCCACATACAGTCAACTTCGCTAATAATGACTGCGGATGTAGACAATTCGCGAATAACGACAGAATTTCCATGCCCAGAGCAAAGTCCCACCCAACTGTAATACATATAATGAGACTTCGGGTATAAGGACACTTTTCTGATGCCCCGCCGAGTGTCGTTATACGCAGAAATACTGTATTCGTCTTTTTCATCCAAGGAGTTTTCGGACTAAATTACATGCCGGACTATAACGCGGATCTGCCCTGTGTTTTAATACGATTCACGGTCCATAGACTAAATGTTAAACCGCACAAGCTCCCTTTCTTTGGAGTTGAACGAAATTATTCACCGGCTAAATGTAAATGTTCTACCTGTACAGCAAGCGACACCCGTACCTTATGTTGATAACCAAATTGAGCAACGAAACTTCCGTATGTCATATCGTCAAGTCTGCAGTCACGTGCACACACGCGCGCACGCATACATGTACACACACAGACAGAGAGAGACACACACAGACAGAGAGAGAGACACACACACACGCACGCGCACACACAAACACGCGCACACACACACACACACACACACAGACAGACAGACACACAGACATACACAGACAGAGGATAACATATCACCATCATGAGGCCATCCATAGCAAGAGGCTTGCACAGGAGTGCTAGACTGTTCCAATTCATTTTCTACTGGATAGCTTGGAAACCAGATGTGACAAGTGACGCCTTAAAATTGAATATCTACTTGTGTGCATGCGTGTGTGTGTGTGTGTGTGTGTGTGCGCGCGTGCGAGAGAGATAGATAGATAGAGATAGATAGAGAGAGAACACCCACACAGTGACTCATACCTGTACTTGGGAGACAGCTCCTCCATCCACGTCTTGACGTTGTTGCGAATGTCCTTGTCCATGGCTCCAAACTTCTGCTTGCTCTGAACCAGAGGTAATCTTTACACCAGAACGACAACAGTGACGGACAAGCAGCAGCAGCAGCAGCAGCACAGACCAAAGAGCAAAGACATACAGGTATGAATACGGACAGTAACTTTACCAGACAGTACACTAGCAGCACAGTTTAGACATTACAGCACTGTCAGGCGCCGGAGAACGACCAGGCTAGAATTTCACCACGCACAGAATACCAATACAGGCGACTCCTGATAATTATCACGAACAGCAGTGTGCAGGAGATTCAGTTCTTTATAGCCAAAGTTCGTTATAACAGAAATGCACTCACACTATACACGCAGCAAGTCATGACCGGCATGTGGCCCATGACTGGACTGAGTGCACTTGGTTTACATGCGGCCCTACAAGATTTGGTTCGTTAAAAACGAAAACTGTTCGCAATAAAGAGTCAATTTTGTATAGGTTGAAACAGGGACATGGATAAGGGTCCGCTATATCACGAAATTCGCTATATGCGAGTTCATTATAATGTTCGCTATAGAGGGTCAATTTTGCATGGGTTGAAACAGGGACACGGATAAGGGTTCGCTATATCACGAAATTCGCTATATGCGAGTTCCTTATAAGGGAGCATCTCATAAGTTCGCACTTTTTTTGTAAACGTAACGCATTTCGAATAGACTTTACCCCCCTACCTCCCCCCACTATTTGAAAGTCTTATCGCACATTTTCCGTGTACATGTACATGTAGATATACCACTGTACATGTCCATGCATGCCATGGTATGCACATGTACATGTACATGAATGTTTTGCTAGTGTGGAAGTGAATGGCATACAGTAGTACCGCATCTACTGAGTACAAGTACAGTACAACCAATGACATGTACACGCACATAAACAGAGTTTCTCCACAAAGACTGTACTGTGAAAGCTGGCCAGGTACACGGTTTGATAACGTTGGTGTGACATTTGACACCTCTGATTAGCCTGCATGATTGATTGCATGCAGTGCAGGGTTAGCTGATCTGCCAACATACTACAGGTAGATCTACACCTAAACACCATGAACACACCCTGCTGAAGCGGTATAGCACATGCACCATATGTGCACAGCACACAACCAGAAAATGTGCGAACTGTCATTTTTCTATTCGAAAAGGGCGCTACCCCCCTACCCCCGTTTCGAAATGCGTTACGTTTAGAAAAAAAATGCGAACTTATGAGATGCTCCCTAAGTGGAGTCGTCTGTACTCATACTCCTGCCCATCGCGGAAGCGATGATAGCGAACAAGCTATGTTTAGACATAGCAACTTGAGCTGGGATTACACCATTCAACAGTTTGCCAGGCTGATGAATTGACCACCACTAATTTTAGCCTGGTCAACACCACACGGCTGGTTGAAGTGGCTTTTTCTGGCCAATGTCAATGAATCCCTATTTTTCACACCAACGTTTACGCGGTGACTCAACTATGCGTAGACTGCAGTACATGAAAATAAGAACAGTCTAGGCTTGGAGGCTGACCCCCAGTTCTTCGGTGACTGACAGTACTGTACACCACACTGCAGGGAATTTATTTATTTTATTTCATTCCAAGCAATACATGGCTGGGGTAGCCAATGACCACTTTGCGTGGCGATTGCAGGGATTTTATAGCTAACCACGGCTAAGAAGGAAAAGAGTAGGAAGTCAAAAGGAAAAGGAAAAGAAGAAAGAAGCAAATATGGACTAACATTGTGGAATAGGTTGACAACTCACCCCATGTTGGCAAGGAACTCGTGCAGCAACTTCTGCCCATGCTGGGTCCAGACCTTGAAGCTAACAGCACAAAAACACACAACACCACACCACAACAGAGATGCTGTAAAACGGGGAATTTTCGGTGGTGTAATATTCTCGGCGGTGTGATATTTTCGGTATTTCCCAAAATCAACGGTTCAGGTGTGCGAAAATTTCGGTAAACCAGTTTCCAGATTCAAAAATGAATTTTGCACACTGTGTGTTGAATTTTAGGTGGCGTTTTATTTTAGGTAAAAATTACCCGTACCCGAAGTTACCGAAAATGAATCTCCACCGGAATTTACCGGTTTTAAAGTAGACAAGACAACCAAGAGTATGCATCTCAACGCTCCCCCATTCATGGCATGAGTTTTTGTGCAGCCATTTGATACTCTGATGTCATCATGGGTGGCCAGAGATGAAAGTGTAAAGAATATATTATACATCACAGCTACGGTAGTCGAAGCAGAACAACGGACGGAAGATGCACGCGTCCTGCACCTGATGAACGGACACCGTATCTACAAGACAAGCGCGGGAAAGCATACGCGCGTGATCATACTTCTGCCAAAGAACGACGCACTTTAAAAAAATTCTTCCGCAGACGAACCCATCGCAGCTCGAGACAGAAGAGAGCATACTCTTGGTTACGTACTCTTGATATACTCGAGGTCTTGAGAAAAAAAACAATAAAAAAGTAAGCTGTTCCCACACCGGGAATTGAACCCGGGCCGTCTGGGTGAAAACCAGAAATCCTAACCACTAGACCATATGGGAGATGGCTACTTTAGAAACTATCGGTCGACTCCTTGTATGATTTAGAGGCTCAAATCACCAACGTATAACGAGGCTGTGTTTCGGCAGCGAGGTTTGTGACCCTCCTGCGGAACCAGTTACGTCCAGCCACACATCCACATCCACAGGAAAACTTGATGTTCTATCCCGAGTACGCTACACTGTAGAAAAAGAGAGCAGCCAAAACGATCACCACACATCATGTACTCACTTGACAGAAGAGTACTCGGAGTGCAGTAGACTCTCGTACATTGACCAGTGGCGATACAACGCTAACCGGAGTCTGAGTGAGAGCGGGTGTGTGAGCGCGCAGCAGGTACAAGGTGATAGGGACACAATGGTCAAGGAGAGACAACACAGCTACAAGCACACACACTGTACCAACACTGAACAATTTAGAGTGCACACAGGTAAGCATAAATCCCACCTTAGACTTCATTCCCACTCGGTGGGAAACATTTCGCAGTGTGTATGACAACGGACGCAGGATGGGGTAAAAAAGTTGAATTCAAGTCTCCTTTTTGCAGAGACTCCATAACCAGAACGAAGTATACATCAGGTTTTAAATCGCGACGGAAATCACCACCAACTGACACCTTACGTGATTTTCTGGGTTCAACTCAAATACTTGAACATTCGATCGGAGAAAATAAGCGTATTCAAACTTGGGAATTAGTGGCGAGATGTGGTAAGCTGCAACCCGTGACTTAGTCATGCACTGCAGTCACAGAGATGTCAAATATGAACAATTGAACATACTATACATTTTGAGTCATCAGTTGCCTGATGATCGTAGAAATACATGAAAGTCAGAGTTGCGACACAGCTTCCAATCTCTCTCTTGTGTACAAGGCTCAGCCCTATATAGGAGTTGAGCACTCTTCGGACAGTGGAGCACGCTACTTGGTTACGAACATACTATACATATCCCCACCACCACCACCACCACCACCACCACCACCACCACCACCACCACCACCATGAGCACATGTCCACAGAGAATAAGGCAGTGCTCAAAGAACACCACCACACCGGAAGGAACCAGACAGCATTAGCAGGATACTCTTGGTCGAACTGTATCCGGAGTGTGTGTACAGATGACACAGACCTGCACAAGACAATGAGAGATGGAAATAGATACACTGTAGCTAGATTGATACGAAAAAAGAGAAATAGGTCCAGTTTGGATTTGTCATGAGTCATGACTCAAAGCCTCATGCCACTGCAATCATCAGGCGATGCAGTGGAATGAAACTTTGAGTCACGACAAATCCAAACTGGACCTACATGTATTTCTCTTTTTTCGTGTGAAACACTGTGCATTGAGCACTTTGCCGGCAATTGCCAAAATTACTCCTTTGTAGATAGATAGATAGATAGAGATAGAGAGAAGGACAGAGATAGATAGAGAGATACACTGTCGGCACATAAGCCTGGTTTTAGTGTTGACACACAGAGAAATACCTGGTTTGAATAGAAGCCTAGCCCTGACATCGGGTTCTACAGCAATAAGCCCGGCTTTAATACGCAACATTACGGTATGTATTTTTCTACTTCACCAGCCCCCCCCCCCCCCCCCCAGCCCAAAACTTGTCATATAAAAAAAGAGGGAAGCGAAGAAAGCAAGTCTGAGGAACTTGACGCAGGGAAAGTCATCCAAGCGCCGTGTTGAAGTTGCCAAAGAAAATGATAAGGGGGCCCATGCCCATTCGGCTGTTTCCCGTTCTCAAATTCGAAACGTGGTTCTCAGTTTGGGCAGCTTTCTGCATCGATTTCTATACTCAAAAGTAGTGTTGAAACGATCTCACCGGATACTCGTTAGCTCGCTCGCCAGAAACTCGGCTCGTTTGTGCGACCAGCTCGTTTGCACTAACGAACACCGTGCACCGTACTCCGTACACATGGCAGTACATGTCGACCGGGGAGTCGTAAAAATATTTTACGACTCCCTGGTCGATCGAGAGTCCAGTCCCGCGCAAAGTGAAAATCACTCGCAGTTACAGGTGACTGTATGCCTGCACGACACTTGAGTTGTTTCAGTTGTCGTTGCAGCTTTGGTCGACTCTACTCTTGACTCTACTGATGTCTTGTTCCGCATCTGCTGACCTGTCGCAGGATATGCTTCGGTCACCTCTCCATTCGAGTGAAAGTTACGCTCAGTCGTTTGGAAGTTTTCTCCCGCGATGCAGCGAAGATCAGGGCTACTTGCAATCTTTGCAAAACGGTCTATTCTTACAAAGGCTAATCGACGACGGCGCTGAAAAGACATCTCGACACCAAACAGCAGTCCGAAGTGAAGCAGCAGCAACCCCAAATGCCGGCGGTGATAATTTGAACCAGCTGAAAAAATCGAACTCAGAAAAAAAGTATTCAAAAAAATAATCATATTTGCCACATCAATGAAACTCGTTAGCTCACTCGATAGCTTGCTCGTTAGTGGAACTGATCGCTCGTTTGTTATAGATACGCTCGTTTCAACACTACTCAAAAGTCCCTTGGAAAGCCGATTTCTCCACCGCGCTGGACTGCGATGCGACAAAAATATTTTGCTATCATGAGAGGTCCTTGGAGAACCAACTTATTCTTTCGCGGACTAATAATAAGTGCTCTTTTGTTGCTGTCTTCGAATCTTTCGTTTCCTACGCCGCATTTGCCCACGATTTGTGCTCTTGACGTAGTTTTCCTGACGCTGGCGTCAGTTTTTACTTGTGGCATTGCCCACCGTCTTCCTCTTTCGGTTGATGCCAAGCTCCCACAACTACGGTCTTCTGACCGCAGTGGCATTCTGTAACATACACACTTCGTACTCTTTTTACTGAAGTGTGTATGTTATGGATAAACGTCTGGAAAACCTTCAGCTTCCTTGTCGCTTTGGTGGCGAGCGACAGTCCTCAACTAGTTATGGCATGACTTATAGGGTCTCCAATTATCCAGAAGCAGTCAAAGCTGTGTTAAAATTGGACGCAACGCTTGGCGAAAGCAATACACACCCACCACAGATGTGCAGTAATTGTCATCGAACTATTACAAGATCGCATGAACAAACCAATCCATGATCTGACTCAAGGGACTGTGGACCTCTGCAAGAATGGTCTCCACATTCACGCATTGGCTGTGAGCTACGTACAAAACTCAGCCAAGAGCCTTTGCAAGAAGGATCTCCATGCCCTTTCTCCACACTGTATTGTGTCTGGTATACTAGGCCAGATGGTGCTGCGCTGTGACTTTTATGAGTCTGCTTGGGTAGGATGCATGGAACAAGTAGAGCTACAATATCTTCGTGCTCATCTTCCGGAATGTCCCCACAACCCACACACACCATCCACGCCACTACCTCCAACAACTACGGTCAGTACTACTTTACCGATTTGCTTACGGCATCACCATCCAAGCTACGTGGCAAAGTGTATGACACAGGGCTGGCACACCTTGTGCGAGGTAAAGCCAACAAGGACAGTTTAGAGATCAGGACCGGTGGAAGGTCCCAGGTTTGGACTCGGACACCCATTCCCATGGTGGACAGTAGAGATGCCAGTCCCAGTACGTTGAAGAGAAGAGCATCACATCTTCTTCTTTTTAAACAGCAAGACTTGCTGCTACGTTCCTGGATGCGACAGTGACACGAAGAAAGAGGCCTGCGCCGGCCTCTCGTGACATGGCTTTCCTCTGGCTGACACGAAGCTGACGACAGCTTGGCTGTCGCGAATATGTAGGAAGGATTTTTCTCCGACGAAATATAATTGTGTGTGCTCAGAGCATTTCACTGAGATGTGCTATGAGAGAGATTTGCAGCAAGAGCTTGCAGAAAACATTGGTGGCTACAAGCAGAAGAGGCAGCGACGCTTGAAGCCAGGATCCGTGCCATCCGTGGAACGCGGTAGAGATGGTAGTGTTAGTAGCTCAACCACCACCAGGTGTGTAAGTGATACCAAATATCTGGAGAGTTCCCATCCAGCTCTGCAAGAGGATGAGGAGAGAGCATGGCTGACACGGGGTTCTGACCAGCATAAAGTACTGGAGAGCATTGTCCTCGACAAGACGTTGCTCAACGATATGAGACAACTGACCAAGTTCTGCCATACAGGCAGTCTGGAAAATTTCCACTGTCATGCTGAAGTGGGCACCGAAACGAGTCCACCTTTCGTACGATGGTATGAGAGCACGGGTACAGTTGGCATGTCTGTCCCACAATACCAACATAGGGAGAGCGCATGCCAAAACGAAGGAGGGTGTTCTCAGGTACAGGCTGGAATACACGAAGCACTGGGTGACTAAGAAGCTGAATGACACCACGTCCTACGACTTCTTGAAGGACCTGTTGAAGGATGTCCACACAGCCATTCTCGACGTTCGCAAGGAAGCACCCACTGAACACCCGCACCGAAGGTGGCGTGATTGACTGAATGCATCAAGCAGAGGACAAGGTGCCTCAGAAGTAACATAACACACACATGTACACTATAGTAATACATGCACGAAGAGTACTGTAATTTATTGCATTCCCAACTCATCACAACCACGCGCTCTTCAGCCGAACCATACAGGCACCAGCAAGGACACTTCCGTTGAGAGATAATATTGTTCTACGCCTCTAGACAGCTGTTTTGCCCCCTGTGGTTCGGCTGAATAACGCGTGGTTGTGATGAGTTGGGAATGCAATAAATTGAAAATATGGCCGAAAGCTCTGTCGCAATATTTAGTTCTGAAGAGTACTGTAAAGCAGAAATATTCGTCTGGAACTTAATTTCATCTTTTTCGTCCAAGGAGGTTTTGGACTAAATTAAACACCAGACTAATGTCGATTTGTCCAGCTTTTCAACACACTCTTATTATCCATGGACGAAATTTACAACCAGACGAACTCCCTTTCTTTGGAGTTGAACGAAATTAATGACCGACGAAATGGTCTCGCTGTACAGTACACGAAACCCAGACTGTGCAGCGTGTGCCTTTTCTGCATGGGTGTCTGTCACGCCGAAATTCCGCGATTGCATCATGGTAGGTGCCGATAAGCGGCGGGAAGTGGCATAGTGTGTACAACTGAGCTGCAGTTGTGCAGCAAGAGATCGGCTTGAATCCTGCTTGTACGCACTACATCACTAAAATAATGTAATCCTGGAATTCCACCGTGACAGCAACCCATCCGAGCTGCACACTCTTGGTTTCATGTACTCTTGACGACACAGAACAAAAACCATGGCGACAACCATGGCAACGACAACAAAGATGACAACTACACTAACAGCAACAGCAGCAGCAGCGGATGTATGACACGTTGATTACGTACGGGTTATTCAAGCGCAGGACAAACTTCTCCTGTAGCTGGGCAGCGTCCGTGACATACTTTTCTCTGAAAAGAGACGCAGACAATCAACAACAACAACAACATTAAACACACCACCACCGCCGCCAGAACCAGCACAAGCTCCAGCACTACTGATGGGCATTGTTGGAGTGAAACAGTTGCCCGGAGGGCCTGACAATAGCAATCTCAACGGAATTATCCTCGCTGCAGCGGTGTCGGCGATGTGCAACTGGAGTAGGTTGGAAGAGACCCTACTATGGAGCGGTCGAGTGGGTAGACAGAGAGTGCATAGCGGTGTGGGTAGGCAGAGCGCAGACTCTGGAGTGGTGGAGTGGGCCGGGCTACAGCACAGTGTGGAGTGGGTAGGCAGAGAGTGCATTGTGGAGTGGTGGAGAACACAGTGTGGAGTGGGTAGGCAGAGAGTGCATTGTGGAGTGGTGGAGAACACAGTGTGGAGTGGGTAGGCAGAGAGTGCATTGTGGAGTGGTGGAGAACACAGTGTGCAGTGGGTAGGCAGAGACTGCATTGTGGAGTGGTGGAGAACACAGTGTGGAGTGGGTAGGCAGAGAGTGCATTGTGGAGTGGTGGAGAACACAGTGTGCAGTGGGTAGGCAGAGACTGCATTGTGGAGTGGTGGAGAACACAGTGTGGAGTGGGTAGGCAGAGAGTGCATTGTGGAGTGGTGGAGAACACAGTGTGCAGTGGGTAGGCAGGGAGTGCATTGTGGAGTGGTGGAGAACACAGTGTGGAGTGGAGTGGGTCGGCCGACAATGAACTGTGTAGCGGTTAATGAGATGACAAGGACAAACTTGCCCCCCCCCCCCTCCCTCTCTCTTGTCTCACTTACCGATCTATTCTCTGATAGAGGAGCTGTTCTGTCAATCCGGCTATTGCCCACCTAGAGATAGAGATAGATAGAATAGAGAGAGAGAGAGGGGGGGGGGGGGGGGAGAGAAGGAGAGAGAGAGAGAGGGAGAGAGAGAGAGAAGTCAGTCCAGGGCAAGGCTGACACACTGCCAGTACCTAAGAACATCAGACCACACTCCCCACTGAGTTCCAGCACTGCTTTTAACCAAACCTCTGCGAGAAGTTGATTACCTAAATGGTCAATGTTGCAATCAAGGACAATATATTGCAAAAGACTAAATAAGGGAGAAACGCCACAGGCATATACTTGCCAGATAACGCACCCAAATGACTTCAGAGCTCACTGCTACAGAGCACTCAAGCTTGGACACAATCAGCCACAGCATTAAAGTAGGTCATGCCGTTCCCAGCAGTGCAGGTTTCTTTGCAACCAGCTTACCCAGTTACCCTGTGCTCCACAAGGGAGACATGACAAGGTCAATACAACTAGAGACCGTTCAGATAGTAAGGTACTACTGGATTTTGTAAGCCCAATATTGACCGAATCCGGGCACAAAACGCCACTTTAAATTTAAAGAAATCTGGGTTTTGGATCTGCTACTCCATACATTTCATCATCGTAACACTATAGAGATGTGCTAATTTTGTACTGAAGCTGTCCAGAGACTGCTTACTTACCAAACTAAGTCGTTGTTATCTTTAGACATGAAGTGTGCTAGCTCCAGCATGATCAAAGACGTCTGCAACGAATCAAGTGCAAGACACAAGATAGGAGAGGGCAAGGAGAGAGAGAGAGAGTAAATTTTCAACATGGACACCCAGGGAAACAAAGCTGGGATAGACAAATATCAGAGTCACATACTTTCTTCACAGTTTGCAAAAACAAACACACAAGTTTTCCAAGACTTCCCCAAGGCCTATTTTCCACTCATCCCCCATCCCTCCCCCCCCCCCCCCCCCCCACAGGCCTTTTCCTAACACTCCACGACTTTTCAGGCCTTTTTGAAAAAGAGAGAGAGAGAGAGAGAGAGAGAGAGAGAGAGAGAGAGAGAGACACACACACACACACACACTCTCTAGCTATAACGTACGGCTGAACTGTGGTAGTAGAACTCGAAGTACTTGAACAGAATGTCTGCTCTGTGGTGCATATACACAAACAAAAGATGACAAACGATTGAACATGAATATTCCATAGATTCCAAGACACACCGGCAGCAAGGTGAAGAACGTTTCAAATTACATGCACACACATTCACACATACACACACTTACACATGCCTATCGCTGAAGCAATGATAGCGAACAATTATGATAGACATAGCAACTTGTGCTGGGATACACACACCATTGAACAACTTGCAATGCTGATGAATTGACCGCCAACACGCATGTGCGCGCACACGCCCAAACACAGACACACATGCACACAGACACACACACACACAGACACACACAGACACACACACACATGTACCTTTTCTGTTCCCAGACTCGTTTCTCTCGCCGCCGCTGTGCTTTTCTCTGCACACACACACACACAAAATGCCGGAGCAAACACATAAACAAGCAATACATGAATAAACTAAAGAGGACACACTGCCAACTCCCCTCACTGCAACTGTACAATCATAAACTCCACTGGTACTAACTGCATGGACTTACCGTACTCTCAGCAATACTAGTACTGGCCGAGGTCCTTAGCAGTTCGCGAGCCCTAAAATTTCACCCAAATCGAGTTGATTCAGGCAAAAGCCCTGAAATGACGTGGTGCTTAATTTAGACAGGCGGCCTTAAAAGACTGGCTCCAACTGCAGAAAATACGGTATGTGTGCAAAAGTGTAGAATAGTAAAGAAAAGGACCAAGGAACTACCGGTATAAGTTACGCTATAATGTCCACTAACACCACTAGTTACTTGACAATCAGCATGTAGAAAGCGTGTAGAAAGTGTAGAAAAGTGCACATTTGAAACACGCAAAGTTGCACATCTCTCTGTCAGCAAGGACATTGTTGAAGAATTTCTACAACTGTGTTCCAGCTGCACTGGACTTACTTTCATTGTGAATGCTCGGCGCTTGGCAGATGGCTCACCAACGTCGTCCTCTTCCGGTTCTAGACTGTCTTCGTACGTATCCGCCACCTCTCCATCGCTGTCTTCATCCTCCTCCTGAGAGTACAGGGAGTACATGCAACAGCAGGGACGTACCCAACGGGGTCGGTCAGCAGGGTGGGTTTTCACACACCCTTGCACACCAGCGCTTTGGCCGAGTAGGTGTGGGCTTGCCTGCGAATCACAAGGTCCCGAGTTCGAGACCCGCGCTGGGAGCAGGGAGCGGGTACTGTGCTAACAAATGCGGTGATGCATGCGTGAACCACTATACATGCAAGGAACTGTGCCGACACCCACGGTCACCTGGGTACTCACTACTCAGAGTGAGGGTAACATGGATGCAGCTAACGAGGTATTCGCCCCTTGTCGGGCATTGGTTGTGAGAGGTGCCACCTCACCCTTGCCGTTAGGCGCTGCATCTGCCACCCTGGTATTACAGGCATGGTGGTGGCCTGGCACATGCGAAACTTCCTAAGCTGGTTGTGTTTCTCTACGCAATTGTATAGCCGGTTGTAAAGTGGACGTGCGAACTATACTTAAAACTTTTGCACACATGTTGTATGTACAGTGCTGGCAACTGAAATCCGACCCCTGAGCGGTGCGCTCACATCGCAAAGACCCAACACGGGATTGTAAAACTACGAAATAGAGACCGCTAGAATGTGAACGCACCGCTCAGGGGTTGGACTTCAGTTGCCAGCACTGTACTTAACCACACTGCTAGTGTTCTATGATCTTACTACCAAAAAAAAGAAAAGATATAAAGTTTGGAACCAGCGGCAGGGTGGCTTTTTTCGCGCACTTGGAGTTACGTGGGTACGCCCCTGCAACAAAAAGCAGCACAAGACAGCCATAGACGGTAGGTAGCACACATATAGAGCCGTCTCCACTTTAATACAAAGAACTCGCATATAGCGAATTTCGTTACATAGCAAACCGTTGTCCATGTCCCAGCTTGAACCCACAGTGTAAGAACATTTCGGTTACAACGAACGTCGTCCATAAAGAACTAATTCTTCTGCACAATGGTGTTCGTTATATCAGGAGTCGACTGTAACTATACGTTACAGCAAGCATTACAAGACAGCCATAGACGGTAGGCAGCACAAATATATCACGTATTCCCCCGGTTGTAAGTCACATTCAAACCTACGTCGCACCCCAGTCTTTCGGGTCTCTGCTGAATAGCTGCTTTGTGTTCACTTAGATAATAAATCACACTTGATTGTAAGAATTCCACCCCCTTCTTCAACCTGCGGGTTTACTTTTTACACATATGTGGGACTATCATTATTACTCGGATGGTGAGCCTAACTTAAATAATTGTGAAAAGAAGAAGGACAAAATGTTACGAGTTATGACTAACTGAGTGGGGAGTGCTGACTGTATAAGATCTGGTTAAGTTGGTGGACAGTTAGTCATAACTCGTAACATTTTGTCCTTCTTCTTTTCACAATTATTTAATAGGCTCACCATCCGAGTTACATTTTGCACACCTGATGAGCCGTCATGACCTATACGGCGAAACGTACGTCGTGTGAACTACTTGTTATTGTACATAACTAGTCCATCATACATGATAGTGGAGTTCAGTAGGATGTTGGCGTTTCGGTTTGTCACAATTCGTCTTCGCTTAGCTTCCCCTTTCTATGTTTATTACATAAACTTGAGCCTCCCACGTTGGGTGGTCTGTTGCTTTGCGTCGTCGAGTTGTAGTAAGGCCGGTATGTCCAATAGTCTTACTAGATTCGTCATCATCCAGTAACTTTCGGCATTCTTTGTTGCCGTGATGCATAGCTCGTGCTCTTCTTCGTTGCACTTTCCTTCCCCTCTTGGACCTTTCCGAACCTGAGCCTTCCAAGTTGGAAGGTTGTTGGTTTGCGCCTTGGAGAAGTGTTTGAGCTAGGTGTCAGGTCGCCGAATGTCTCAGTACTCCTTGTCAGTTTTGTGCCATTTTGTCGCACTCTCTGACTGTATAAGATCTTGTTACGTTGGTGGACAGCTAGTCATAACTCGTAACATTTCGTCCTTCTTCTTTTCACAATTATTATTACTATTATTATTGTTTTGTGCCTAGTTGTGGCACTTTCTGACTGTTTAACCCTTTGTGGACGGACTGTACGAGTTTCGATCTAGAGTTTCGATCTAATAAGATCGAAACTTCGTAACTTCGTAACTCCATCGTTTCTTGAGCAAATTCCACAATCGAAGGGTCTACGTGGTAGCGGGAACTCCAAGCCGTCCAATGCAACAATCGCTGAAGAGTTACAATGTCGGACGCCAGAGATATCGCACGCCGTATTCTTACCTCGGCAAATTCAAATTTTTGATCGATCATTTCGCCATTTTGGGGGAAAATCCCTTTTCGTGTGCTCTTTGAGCGACTGAGCACATGATAATGACGTAGCCGGCTGAAGTTAGAATCGTCTCAAACAGATTTGAGCGTTCTGCGATGAAGGAGAGTGAAATGGCGTTGATGGGACGAATTTGCTTGCATATCAGGCTTGGAGACGACTTTGCTGTGTTACCGCGCCTGATTTGTGGCGGCCGAATAATGGAGATTGGTACCCTGACGTAGCTTTCGCCAAGAGCTTTCCAATGAGCCCTTGATTGTGAAAATCAAGTGAAGGACACCAAAGTTATGACATGGAAAAGTTGAAAATTGTACTGACATTTTGTAATTCTGGTGCATACTGTTCTAGTAATCCGTCCATAAAGGGTTAATAGTACCTGGTTACAGTGATGGAGAGTTACTCTCAACTCGTATCTATATTTCCTTTTCCTCTCTACATTTATTATTGGCTCAACATCCGAGTTTAAAATTATTGGCAATAAATAAGATAAATTGTGCACTCATAACAACAGCAAAAATGAAGAAAGTCAAGTTCCATAACGTTTTCTTGTGACTGTCATCAGTGGAACGCCGTCACATAAAAATGTAATAACTAAAACACACACTTATATACATGTCTGAAGTCTGAAGAAAATGTTGAACGGCCTCTGCTGGGATGACGACTACACCATAGCTCAGTGGTTAGAGCATCGCTGACTACAAGCGAGGGTCCCTGGTTCGAGTCCTGGTGGTGACTGTCAATTTTTTCTTCAGACTTTTCCCGTTTGTCTCTTTCCCTCAAACCAGTCAATATTATATACATGTAGCTAATAATTATGGTTTCAGGTAGAAATACAGCAGCTAACAAGTACAAAAAGCGAAGTTTGCACCTTTGCAATGTGTGAATATAGTGTATGTGAGAAAGGTAGTGGCAGATGAATGTGATACTGTGTGAATGAATGTAATGGTGCGTGTGTATTATTTGAAGAGTGTGAGTGATACAACGTTTTCTTTCTGTTTACATAGCACAGGGTCACGAGTACGAATATACACAGCTTCCAACACCTGCAGTTGCTTGTTGCTGCAACGGTAAGAGCGGAAGGGGAACAACTTGAAAACAGAACAGAACCGAGGAGAAGCAAGAGACTAGCAGAGGCACGACTGAGACAAGTGGAGAACACAAGGCAAGGAGACGCAGGAGGAAGCACAGGCACGGCACAGAACGAATCAAGGAGAGGGAAGCGGTGTCGCGAGGAGATGGAGACTGATGACGACGAATACGAGTGCGATGGGATGGACGGCGGCATTGGAATGGAGGTGGAGGATGAGAGTAGTGATGAGGAGGAGTTTGATGTTGACAAGAGGAAGTCTGCAGTGTACAAGCATTTGGTGTCCAGTCCAGAATGTCGTAAGGTGTTTGACGATTCCTGGTTTAGTGTTATTCGTTGCGCACGTTTCTTCAAGCAACTGCAGGTGTTGGAAGCTGTGTATATTCGTACTCGTGACCCTGTGCTATGTAAACAGAAAGAAAACGTTGTATCACTCACACTCTTCAAATAATACACACGCACCATTACATTCATTCACACAGTATCACATTCATCTGCCACTACCTTTCTCACATACACTATATTCACACATTGCAAAGGTGCAAACTTCGCTTTTTGTACTTGTTAGCTGCTGTATTTCTACCTGAAACCATATTAGCTACATGTATATAAGTGTGTGTTTTAGTTATTACATTTTTATGTGACGGCGTTCCACTGATGACAGTCACAAGAAAACGTTATGGAACTTGACTTTCTTCATTTTTGCTGTTGTTATGAGAGCACAATTTATCTTATTTAGGCCAAACTAAAGAAGGTGTGTGGTTCGACTAACATGGACATTTTTTTTACGGGCGGGCGGGCGGATTTTTTTAAAATATATTTTTAGTACATGTAAATACACTGTACTGCCTTTAGACACCCAGTACATCGGCATTATTACGCAGTGTTATGCCATACATGTCGTATAAAGGGGTCACTGGCTAATACTTTGAAACATTGTGTAGCTCTGGAACGAGAAGAGAATAACTTCAAGCGGTGACTCTGACTGTCCAAATCATCAAGCAAATGAAGAACGATGCGAGTTGAAAGTAAGTTCGGGAACTACTTCGAAGTACAAATTGTACAATGTACCGGTACATGTATTGCTAGTTTGGTGTCGGCGTGCACGAATACATGGGCTTTTTTCCATCGACGCTTCCTGTGCTTGCACACATGGAGCAGCAACTTACCGGTACAGGTGAAATATCGTTCCCAATACACGAGGAAAGTGCAATCTCGTCTGTCCTTCATCCCAAAACAGAAGGCCGTCCTTAATCTGGAACGAGGCAATCACTCTCAACCGGACGGTCACTTCAAAATAAGTCTCGCCAGTCTGCCGGTGGTCGCATCGAGTAGACTCTACTAAGGCAGCAGTCGTACCACTCACTGCACTGCACTGCAGTACAACTACAAGTCAAGTCCAAAAGGAGCCGCCTGGCGCCTGCGTCCGCAGACTCACGCTGCACAGCACGTAGACGTGGACGTGTTCAGTCCACGTACGTCAGTCACACGACAGCCCGCCGAAAAAAAGTTACGGTCGGGCTGAAAATGGTACGGTCGGTCGGGTGAGTCGAACCACAGACCTTCTTCAGTGTGGCCTTATTGCCATTTTACGACTATTGTCTCCTCGTCGATTGTTTAAAATTATTATTAGTATTATATGTGGGACTCAGTGACCGATCATACAGACACAAACACCCGGTGAGCGATCACAAATTGTCACTGAGTCACGGACTCGTTTTTGTCTTGATGACCAATCAAAAAGTACGCGACTTTCCTAAAACGAAAGATCGTGGTGCTGACCGCTTTTGGCGAGTGATGGCCGAAACGATGACGGCGTGCCAAATAAAGGCGAGAATCCCCAAATGGGGGAAAAGGAAGACTTCAGCGGAAATCAAGAGCAACATATCCCTGAGCGTGACGGAGTCACAAATTTCAAAGGCATTGCGATACATACCTTTTTGATTCGGAGGAGACCGCGTTATACTACAAGTCAACGGAGCTCAATGAAAAACATCGCCTTTGAGTGTCTCGAGAAGGCTGGAGGAGCACCAGCGCGACCACATGCATGCTGAGACTTGTTACGGCAGCCTGCGGTGCCGCTACTACCCTGTCGTCCGAGAAAGCATTATCGCCGGCCCTGTATAAGGAGCATGTCCAGTGTACGGCATGTGAACGCCAGGCTCCTCCGCCAAAAACATCCTTGGTCTACCCGTTCCATCCTAGTCACGTACCCAAATTCGCGATGGCAGATGGACCTGACGAAGTTGCCGTCCGTACGTGGTTTTGAGTATGTCTGCAACATCGCGAACTGCTACTCTCGGTTCGCGACGGGCGCAGGCATCAAGTCGAAGTCGGCGAAGGATGCGTGTGCGGTGGTGCTCAAATGCATGTGTGCATATGGCCCGCCAAGAATCCTGCAGACGGACAGCGGCAGGGAATTCAACAATGCCAGCTTGGCGTCAATGTGACCTTCTACTGTGTTCTCTTCCGTCCCGATAACAAAGACCCGTACTCGCTTCAGGTCTACTGGACTCCTGCCAATACTCCAAAGTTTGACATCGGTCAAACACTGTGGGCGGTGTTTCGTGCACCTAATCTTGGCGGAGCAGCTAGAACTTTTCTACGTTGTTCTCTTCAGCCCCGACAATAATGAGACCAGTACCCGTTTGAGGTCCAGTGGACTCCTGCCAATGCTCCAAAGTTTGACATCGGTCAAACACTGTGGGAAGTTTTTTATGCACCTAATCTTGGCGGAGCAGCCGGTACTTTTCTACTGTGTTCTCTTCAGCCCCGACAATAATGAGACCAGTACCCGTTTGAGGTCCAGTGGACTCCTGCCAATGCTCCAAAGTTTGACATCGGTCAAACACTGTGGGAAGTTTTTTATGCACCTAATCTTGGCGGAGCAGCCGGTACTTTTCTACTGTGTTCTCTTCAGCCCCGACAATAATGAGACCAGTACCCGTTTGAGGTCCAGTGGACTCCTGCCAATGCTCCAAAGTTTGACATCGGTCAAACACTGTGGGAAGTTTTTTGTGCACCTAATCTTGGCGGAGCAGCCGGTACTTTTCTACTGTGTTCTCTTCAGCCCCGACAATAATGAGACCAGTACCCGTTTGAGGTCTAGTGGACTCCTGCCAATGATCCACAGTTTGACATCGGTCAAACACTGTGGGAAGTTTTGTGTGCACCTAATCTTGGCGGAGCAGCCGGTACTTTTCTCCTGTGTTCTCTTCAGCCCCGACAATAATGAGACCAGTACCCGTTTGAGGTCCAGTGGACTCCTGCCAATGCTCCAAAGTTTGACATCGGTCAAACACTGTGGGAAGTTTTTTGTGCACCTAATCTTGGCGGAGCAGCCGGTACTTTTCTACTGTGTTCTCTTCAGCCCCGACAATAATGAGACCAGTACCCGTTTGAGGTCTAGTGGACTCCTGCCAATGATCCACAGTTTGACATCGGTCAAACACTGTGGGAAGTTTTGTGTGCACCTAATCTTGGCGGAGCAGCCGGTACAGCTGAACTCGTCGGCAAGTGGCGTGAAGGAACTGTGCGCCGTCACGTTATGGAGCCGGGGAACTTCATGCTGTATGACCTGGAGGCTGAGGACGGCTCTTTCTCATCTACTTTTGCCATCATCTGACTGGATGAACAAGGCTACACCGCTCAGCCCCGACGGAAGAGATGACGATAGTAACATATCGTGCTGCATGAAGTGGAGGCTGAGGACGACAACTCTTTCTAATCTACTTCTGCTGCAGCTCATGTGAAGCTGAAGTGTACATTCCCAGCCAAAGTATGGTGCAGCCAAGGGGATTCCCCCTATGCCATCTGACAAGTGGAGGCCGAGGACGACTCATTTTAATCTACTTCTGCTGCAGCTCATGTGAAGCCCAGGTCTACATCGCCAGCCAAAGTATGGTGCAGCCAAGGGGATTCCCCCTATGCCATCTGACAAGTGGAGGCCGAGGACGACTCATTTTAACCTACTTCTGCTGCAGCTCATGTGAAGTCCAGGTCTACATCACCAGCCAAAGTATGGTGCAGCCAAGGGAATTTCCCTAGGAAATCAGACTGGATGAACAAGGCATAGGGAAAGACTTACAATAAAAGAGTGCCAGAGTACCCCCACCCGTCTCTTCTCCCAAGAAAGTTAGTTCAAGCACATTACCACATGGTTAAGTAAGACTAACCTCAGGGTCGCTGAAAACCTCTTCGGGTTGCGGAAAGTCGAGATCCTCGTCGGGCAACTTGACCAGATGCACCTTGTCGCTGTATACGTTGTACAGGTCAAACGGCCGATGACTACACCAAGACAAGGAGAGAGAGAGAGAGAGAGAGAGAGAGAGAGAGAGAGAGAGAGAGAGAGAGAGAGAGAGAGAGAGTGAGAGAGAGACAGAGAGAGAGAGAGAGAGACAGAGAGAGACAGAGAGAGAGAGAGAGAGAGAGAGAGAGAGAGAGAGAGAGAGAGAGAGAGAGAGAGAGAGAGAGAGAGAGAGAGAAAGAAAGAGAGAAAGAGAGAGAGAGAGAGAGAGAGAGAGAGAGAGAAAGAAAGAGAGAAAGAGAGAGAGAGAGAGAGCAATTAGAATAAAAACAACACATTGCAAAAGCTGGCAGGGCACACTTACAATCTCTGAACCAAACGCACAGCACAACATGGTACACGTACCGTATTTTTCCGGATAGAAGTCAACATTTTATGACCTATAAAACAAACTTTAAAAAGGGGTAGTCGACTAACAACCGGGGTTCAACTGCTATTGATCACATTGATCTTGAACAGGTAAATCGAGGCCCTAAGTATGGGAGCCGACTTATGACCGAGGTCACCTTGTAACCGGTGAAATACGGTACTCAAGGGACACTCAATCTGCGGACAGAACTGCTTCGTCCTTTCCGGACCCATCAGCGCAGCACAGAGGAAATGAGGCCGGACCGGATAGCAATGAAAAATAAATTTAAGGACAAGTCAGTGAGCGCTACGCAAAGTACATGTGCAGCCGTCCCTCTTTAAATCCAGCACTTTATAAACCAGCACTCTCTATAAACCAAAACAATTTTCAGCAACCAAAATGCCCTTCTCATTCACATTGCAGCAGAAAATCAGACTTCGTAATCCAGCACCCTCCCTAATCCAGCAGAATTTCCGTGGCACAAATGGTGCCAGATTATACAGCGGACCACGGTAACAAATTCATCGCAATCTCCTACGGTCGGCATCCATTCTTACCTGTCGAATATGTAGAAGTGCGTCTCATCGTTAGCGTCCAGTTCATCCACAACGCTGATGGTAGCCCCGCAGTTGACTAGAACGACGTGTCGAGCCTGTCAAGAAACAACAGGACAACCGAGACAGATACAGCGGAACTCTGATAATACATACTCCCAACTCTGATAATACATACTCCCAACTCTGATAATACATACTTCCATGGGCAAGAGCAGCAAAGTGTACTTAGTATCTAAGGGGCCGTCCAAGGTTACCAATAATATTTTCAAACTGAAAAGATTTCGTTTGGGGGTGGGTGGGTTTGATGGAGTTTCGTTTTGAAACTAATTATTGAATGCAGATGGAGAATGCCCAGTTACTTTTGGGTGTCGAAAATTGACATCAATATGTTATTGGAATTCGTTTTACCTACAGAATAGGTGGGTGGGAGGGTAGGGGCTGAATAATACTAAAACTTTTCGTTTTGTAAAAACAATCGGTAACCCCGGACGGTAACCCTAAGGTACTCGTATCCTAATATAATTCAGTATGAATCAGTGCACACACGCCATGAAAAATATCAGTACTACTACTAGGCAAGCACACGTCTTACCAGAGTACACGGTAGATGAATATCACTGTACTTCAGCACAGAGTAAGGGGCCGTCCGGGGTTACTGATTGTTTTTACAAAACGAAAAGTTTCAGTATTTTTCAACCACCACCCACCCACCCACCTTTTCTGCAGGTAAAACGAATTCCAATAAAATATTGATGTCAATTTTCGACACCCAGAAGTAACTGGGCATTCTCCATCAGCATTCAATAATTATTTTCAAAACGAAACTCCATCAAACCCACCCACCCACAAACGAAAACATTTCGTTTTGAAAATATTATTGGTAACCTTGGACGGCCCCTAACAGACCTGTACTTTGAAATATCTATATTTAGAATATAACAGACTCAGCGGAGGACGTTCAGGTTGTCGTTGGTTGACATTGAGCACTCTCTGCAGCTCGGGGATCAACGGATTTGATTTGATTTATACTTGGAATGTCATACGTGTATTCTTTATTCGGAATGTCATATCCTATCCTATCCTATACTTGGAATGGTATATTCTATACTTGGAAGCTGGCAGGCTCCCCTGGAGAAATCCACCTCACATTCGTAGCACTGGAGAGTTCCACATCCGGCGAAACGTGGAGAAATCACGTAAAGAACAAGTGCCTGGGTTAGAGTTACAAAAACCATGAAAGTCCACTAACCTGTCCAGCGTGTTCCTGGAAAGCTTGTTTCAAGCTCTGGCGACCACTGACTGGCACTAGACTGTACTGTATACCATCACAGCATAACAAATTCTGTGAACGAAAGAATGAACACACACGCACATATGCACACACAGACACAGACACACACACAGACACACACACATACACACACACACACACACACACACACACATATGCACACACACACACACACAGACACACGCAGACATGCACGTGTACACAGGAAGACTGGTGGACAGGTGAAATGCATTGCTGATTACGAATACAAGCAAGCAGTGTTTACTGCGTAGGCACTGGATCAGTATGACGATAATCCTTCCCGTCTGCCTAAGGCCAGGAGGAAGAAAGGGAGAGGGGCGCGAGTGGTAAGGGAGCGGGAGAGAGAGAGAGAGAGAGAGAGAGAGAGAGAGAGAGAGAGAGAGAGAGAGAGAGAGAGAGAGAGAGAGAGAGAGAGAGAGGATGGTGCGTGGGGGGGGGGGGGCTCACCTGGAAGATCTTGCAGGCGCAGGCCGAGTCAACATCGATGGCGGCCAAAATCAGAACTCGCTGTAGTGCACACACGCGCACACACACACGCACACACGCGCGCACACACACACACGCACACACACACACGCACACACACACACGCGCACGCACACAAGCGTACACGACATTTCCCCACATAAAAATGGTGAACATGTTCGTCTCATGCACAATGCACTCTTGAACATGCACCAACGTAAAGTGCTGTAGCCCTGGGTCACACTTACTTTTCAAGATGCTAAAAAGTTAGTAAAAACTGACATAGGTTACCAGAAGTAAATACAGGTCTACCAGCGTGAGTAGACAACCCGGGGGGATTTCAACATGTTTGTCTTTACGATTATTATCTCCTAGCCGGACTTATATGTACGCGTTTCAGGGGTCAGGAAGTTTTGGATGGTTGCCTACTAATGAGGTTTGTCTTGCAACGGATGTCGTACTAACGAGTGTAGATCTGTAGCGAGCAGCACCAGCCCAACGTCTTTCGGCTTTTGTATCCGAACAAATCACCAAGGTGATGCGACGCCAGGCTTGAAGACTGCAATTCATCATCAATGATCATGCCTGGTTGGGGAAATCCCTGTCTGCTATCTCGGGCCAAAGTACAGTTCACTATGTCCATGTAAACGTAGCACCTTTGCACAGAGAGTATACAACTAATGCCTAACACCTAACGCATCTACTCATCGCACTCTAAACGCACAATGGCCACAGTATTGTTCAACGAAAGCCATAGAGAGTGTGAGGAACGTGACTAGTGAACTTGCTACTGTAAAGTAGAAACTGCATTTGAAGTCAAGGAGCTGGAGAGAAGTGAAATCATCAAATAAATTCGTCGTTTGTAGTTTGTGATTCTGAATGAAACTCCGAGAGTGTGGATCCGTCTCGTCATGACTCTCTCCACCACAGCACATACCCTAGTTAACTACCACTGCGTGGAGGCACTGCGAGAGTGGCAGTCTGCTCCACCAGGACGTGAAAATTAGAAAGGACTTACCTCACGCCTGAGCACATCGTAAACTTGCGTGCGAAGGTGGTCTGTGCGTTCGATAAACATCCTCTCGCCGCTTGATCCCTTGTCCAGTAAAATTATCTATCCATGAAGGAGTTTTCTGGTCAGCCAGGAAAGGAGTTTCCAACGGATGACCATCCAAACGACACCAAAGTCTTTCGCAAGCCCTGCTTCTGGAAGTTTGGCTGTAAACATTCACAAACTCAAGACAAGTCACAAAATCAATGCCTGTTGTTTCCTTGCATGGCATGGCCTCTCGACACTCACTCAAAAAATGCCCAGTTCAAAGTTTGGCGGGAATGGGACACGTGACTGAGTATGACGTCATCTGCAAAGATGACCACCATGCGTGGAGTAGTATTTTAGTACTCCGTGATGACAAAACTCGACATCTCGAGCTATCAGTACAGTATCAACAAGACAGGGGTTATGGACTCTTGCTATCATCAAGAGTTCATAATGGGGGTTATGAACTCTTGCTATCATGGTTAGATGTAGCGCAAGAAACAAGAATAGGTGTTGGCGGATAATGCCGGCATTATATCGAGTATTATACCATGCTACGGTATGGAGGGCCTGTTTTCTGAGCCAATCAGCGCTCGTCTAGCCATGGTTATATTGGCCAGTATAAAGTCCCGCGCGGGATTTATATCGAATAATAAATCCCGGTTTGTTTGTCACAAGTTTTTTTGTGTTTTTTTGGCCTTACGAAGCCTCTTGTACGGGCAAAATTAATAAACCGATACAATCATGCCTAGTCATGAAAATACAAAAGATGACCAAAATGATAAAGTAATATTGTTTGCGTTCCGGCTCTCCGCCTTCTCCACAGAAACACATGCCCATAATATCAAAAACGGGCAACGCCAGCTTCTGCAACAACAACCTCAGCAGAGACAGGATCAGCAGTGAGGTGAGCTGTGCCAATGTGCTGCGAGCCCCACGGAGGCACATGACGCTGGCACGCAATAATGCAAAGCTCAAGCGGCAGCGGAGGTTGGCCATCACGTTGCTGTAGAGCTCGGCGGTCTTCTCGGCAGCTAGCAGACTAGCAATTCTCTTGTAGAATGCAGTGGCACGTCTGCTCATGCCCCCAGTGGTGGACAGGACGGCTGGGACGAAGGAGGCATGTTCGATATTGCGCACCCGCTGCTCATATGCCCTCTTCTTCTCCCGCTCATGTTTGACATAGCAAGCGGCAATCGAGTTGGAGCGATTCGAGGACGCATGTGGGTTGAACACCCGAACATCAACAAAGGTGCGCTCGAATCGCCCACCCCAAATGCCACTTGCTGCCACATCTAGCCGGGCTTGGTCATCGGTGTTGGCAGACCGGTACCGTAGCTGTTCCCCTGTCAGTGGTTGAAGGTGGGGCTCCACAGCCGCTTGAACTTGATGGGCGACCTGCTTCAATGCCCTGGCGGTTAGGTCCCGGATCTCATTATGCCGGAGGGTTGGGAAGCCCCCTAGGGAACACGACAGGGCATGGGGCACGGAGAATTCCTTCCCGCATTGACAGGATGTCGGAAGTCGGGGAGGTAGCCAGTTGTACCGCAGGCACACAGCGTCGCGAAACTCTCTTTTTGTGAGGTTGAAGTGGTGACAGCGAAGAGGTCTGCAGGTGAGCCAGCTGGAGGCACCTTTTTCCGCTGCCAAATCCACTTGCCCAGCTCAAAGTCCTGTCGTAGAATGCATTCGGCCAGCGCCTGAGAGACCCGAACTGAAGACTCGCGTTGCTGGGCAACTGACGATGAAGGTGTCAGGCCCAGACCGCCGTGGCGACATGGTAGGGCGATCATTGTCCTCTCCGTGTCGTTAACCTGACGGCCAACGAGAGCAGGAACACGGCAGTTGGTGACTGCATCATCGAGCGGCGTTAACTGCTCAGCGAGACCGGGCATGGTGCGGCAAAGGAAGGTCCACTTGCTCTGGAGGCCGCGGGTGAAGGCAGAGTACGCTGCCTGTGGCTGCGAGGTGGCTATCTCCCCCAGTCGCTTGACCTGCTGTGTCCATGTCTCGCATTGTGGCTATCTTGCCGTCCACGTACGCTGTGGTGAAGTCGGTGGAGCCGATCGCCGCACCCAGATACCGACAACCGTTGGTGTTGATGGTGACACCGGTGCCGTCAAAGATCTGGACTGCATCTGCGTAGAGTTCAGGTTTCACGCTGAGGACGGTTTTCTCGGCATTCGGGTAGTACCCATAGCTGGGTCCCTTTTCGACCAGGAGATCCCACCATTGGCGAAGTTTGACAAGCTTCCCACCCGCACCCGAGTCGTCGGCAAACCAGGATTGGGTAGCTCCGTCGACACCCACAGCCTGTATCAACGGGAGGACACCCAGAGCATAGATAGGCATGGCAATGGGGTCGCCTTGTGTTGTTCCTTCCGATGATTTGATGGTCTCTCCTCCAACATAGAGGTTTGCTGGATGGCGGTAGGTGTTGGTCACCAATGGCGACAGCGATAGACAAAGATGCTGGATGTTCCTCAAACCCACTTGACGATTTAGGCTGTTGAAGGCATTCCGTGCATATGCCCTCGGATATAAATCCCGGTGCACGGTACGTAGATCTACGCTAGGGCACTGCCACCGTACAAGTTCACTGCCTGAAAGGCAGTGAACTTGTACGACGGCAGTACTCCAGCGCACGGACCGTTCACAAGAGACACAACATACACCACTTGGACGTGTACACTCCACACAGAACGGACCTGAACCAGGCGCGTGCGCCGGTGCCCTTCAAGGGGGGGTTCCGGGGGGCCTCCCCGGGAAAATTTTCAAAAAATGAAGCAAAATCCTGCATTTTGAGCGAAAAAAAGGGGGGTTCCGGGCACCCAGGAACCCAGGGAGTCGTAAAATACCCCATAGGTATTTTACGACTCCCTGCAGGAACCCATACGGCGCACGCGCCTGTGAACGGCATTACTGACGAGGAACAGTACACAATGGAAAAGAAGAATGACCTGGAATATATCTACCGAGTATCCTATTATACTGAATGTGAGGATAAAGAACGTCAAATAACCACGAAGTATCCCGAATGGATCAGCAATGTACATTGTACTTCGAATAGTTGAATCTGAGACGCTCCCTTCCTACTTGAATCCCAATCGAACTCGCGCACTTCCACCGAAACTGGGTGACTGCGCCCTACGAGATGGGGATTTGTATGCAAAATGTCACTAAAAGCGCCATTTCGTTCTTATAAAAGCACGGATGACCGCGATTGGCCCATATGTTGTAGTCTTTTGGACGCTGAGTCGACTGGTTTTGGTCCGAAAAGGCTGCGATGCAGCGTTCCTCCTTTATTCCCAATCGAACATGGTTGAACAAGCGGTCACGTGCTCCTGCGTACGCCAGTCACCTGGTCACCGTGCCTGCTGGGTACAACTTACTAGCCTGTATGACCTTTTTTGGGTGCAGTCCTGTCACTCGAGTTGAACCTTGGTGTGAAAGTTGTCACCTGCTGGCGTGGTGACCAGGTGATTTGGGCACCCAGGAGCACGTGACCACTTGTTCAACCATGTTCGATTGGGAATAAAGGAGGAACGCTGCATCACAGCCTTTTCGGACCAAAACCAGTCGACTCAGCGTCCAAAAGACTACAACATATGGGCCAATCGCGGTCATCCGTGCTTTTATAAGAACGAAATGGCGCTTTTAGTGACATTTTGCATACAAATCCCCATCTAGTAGGGCGCAGTCACCCAGTTTCGGTGGAAGTGCGCGAGTTCGATTGGGATTCAAGTAGGAAGGGAGCGTCTCAGCTTTCTCGGACCAAGACCATTCGACTCAGCACCCCGAAGACTACAACTGGTGAAATCTTGATTTTTGCCTTAAACTTCCCCTTTAAACTAAGTTTATGATACAGAGTGTCCTTCAAATCCACCTAAACCGGTTGGAAAACGCTAGATGGATTGAAATGTGATACCAGGATACAGTACAGTGATACAAAACAGTGTATGCAAGTGCATCTACTTGCAAGTAGCGGCAAAACTGATTATTATAAGACGCCGCATGTGAAAATCAGCACTGTACCATAATCATGATAATAGTAACACTTAGTACTTACTCCCAAAGAGTCCAAACTGTACTGTAGTCCAACTAGTGACGGTAGTTTGATTCAACGACAACTCCAGCACCCCAGCAATTCACGGTTGACTTCCGCATCGCTCACGAGACGACGTGCTACAATATGCACTGGAACTGAAAGGAAATGATCTTATGCCAAACCTGATCCACGGAGGAATCTCCTTCTGACCTTGCTCGACCATTCTTTCGACAACTGATAACCAGCAGGACATGTTCATGTACTGTATGATGTAGGAGATCTCCAAATAAGTTCATTGTTCTGGAAATGCGTAGGGGTACCTGACATAAGTAGGATATGACCCTCGTAGTCGGGTTATACCGTACCCTCATATAAATCCCTCCTGCTATCGCAGTCGGGATTTATATTCAGCCGGTATCGCGGTATACCCTCTGTCCTCTATAGTCCGTGGGCCAAACCTGAAAAAAGGCCTCCTAGAAAAATCTCGTTCCGACTTTTGGGCACCGCAATTTTATTGGCCACGTCTACTCTAGATACCTTACTGAGCAGGATTCCGGTTGTTGTCACTCTGACAACTTTCTGAAAGGTATCCAAAAATCGGCTTTTCCATGTTGAAAATTTCTCTCTCGGCGGCCATTGTTTTGTATGCATTCATGCATGCGCCTTGTGTGTGGTGCTGTGAAATGTGATTATGCACCAGAATAGACGAAAGTACACGAATTCAGTGTTAGGGCGCGTTCAGACTACCGTGAACCCCGTCAAACCGTGAATGCCGATAAACCGTGAAGGACATTCACACTAGGGAGGTTCTGCTATACGTGAAACGTAGAGAAATCACGTAGAGAGCAGGTGTCTGGGTTAGAGTCTACGGCTTCGCGTGTTTTGGCTCCAGATTTCTACGCGGAGATGGGGTTCTCTACGTTGTGGCACACGCAGAGAAAATGCGTACGGATTTGCTGGCTATCGATCAACTGCATGCAGAAAACTGCCAAATATGGAAGGGGAAATTCCCAGTACACATTCCACGTGACTTCTCTAGGTGAAACGTAGAGCAGAACAGCATTTCTTTACGTTACGGGAACGCGAAGAAAGTTCGCGTGATTCTTTGCGTCGCGTTCCCAAAACGTAGAGCAGAACCTCCCTACTACCGATAACAAACTAACGTGACCGTGAAGTTTTCAGCTCTCACCGCGGCACTGACAAGGGATTTTCCCTTTTTTTCGCAGCGCGCATGCAGCCTGAGCACTTTTTTACTGCCGGTAAAAGTTTACTGCCGCATCAGCCGCGGCAGTTACTTTCCCACCGGTAAAGTGCCAGTAACGTCACGTGATCAAATCACCTTGGCGACTTTCCCTATCGGTCACTTTTTATCGGTAGTCTGAACGCGCCCTTACCTGTCATGTCAAGTCGTGATCTGGTACGATCTGGTACACTGCACACTCTCTGCAGGCGTGCACCCGGACCCACAATAGGGAGGTTTAGTTCCCACGTAACGGAAACGCGTAGACCCGGGTGCTCGAATCAGAAACGATTTGACAGGTGTGCAATTTCTCATCTGTAAATGTCAGAATATACTTTTGGAGAGGCGATGGAACAGGGAAGAGAGTCTACTAGTCTGGCTCAGGGAGTCGTCAAATACCGGGAGTGGAAACGCCGTTAATCTTGATTATCCATGCTCGCCTCGCGCAAAATTTTTGCAGTGCCTTGAGTACCTCAGCGTCGTCAAATGCAATTTAGAGTAGCCTTGAGTATTTTTTGGGAGAAAGCGTCCATCAGAACGTGTATACAGAGATATTTGCAGTGGTCTGCTCGTTTGATAGTAGGAGGACACCTAATTTATCGGTAGGCGTTATCGCAGTGTTGCGATGTTTGACTGGAGGCCCGATTCACGCGCGAATAGTGACGTGACTTTTGATGTAATTTATCGAGGAAAATAGCTCAGCCTCAGTAATCAAAGCCACTTGGTTCGACCCACGAAAAAACTTCTCGTAACCATTGTCCTTTCCATATAGGTGCTACCTGTGAATTTTCTCGGTGTAAGATGATATGCCACTGACTTTTTGAGGGACCCTTCGTTTCTAAAACATTATCGTTTTTTAATGACGACCACATTATTATAAAGTCAAGGAATTTCTCTTATTTTCTTCTTCAGTGTAAGAGAACATCACCGCTTTCAGTATGTCTCATGTCAAGAGGAAGCATGACAACGTATATGCACCACCAACACTGAGAATCCAATTGCAGATTTGGCCGGTTGTGGCGAGTATCACGGAATTGACAATGCACACCGAATTAAACTGTTCTAAATCCCTCTCTCTTTCTGTCTCGCTTCTCTTTGCCTACTTTGGGTGTCAGCAGTTACGCATGTGTACATGCACGCACCAATATACGGGTGCGCACGCACTCATTGGCATGCACAAACTGCACATGCACACACACGGCATGCACGAACTGCGCATGCACGCACATTCACACACACTGGAATGCATGCATGCATGCACACACACACCGGGTCCTGGTAAACACTGCCATTACGGTCACCTGTCCCCTTGCGGGGCCAACAACATGGAAGCGACGGCAGAAAGTCGGCAGTCTGCCAAGAGATCAGGGACCATATTCAATCGGCACGACGAGAGAGCCATCTTTGGCAGCACACACACACATACACACACACACACACACACACACACACACACACACACACACACATACTGACATGCCCACACTGTGCATGCACACACACGGTGGATGCGCTCATGTGTCTCAGATTCAATTATCTTTTCAAAGTTTGGTAGATTCGGAGACATGTTGGCCAGAATTTCATGGCCGAAAGTCGCCAACACCGGCTTGAGGCTAGTTAACTCAGGCTTTCTGCTAGCTCCCAGTTCTCTTCTCACCGCAACAACACACCAACCACCATGGTATCTTTTAGGTGTCTCTGCAGTGCAGTTGACTATGGCGGTGGGCTGGGGTGCTGCTGCTGTTGCTGCTGCGGATGATGCTGGCATGATGGACGGCTTTCTTGCCACTAATGTACCGCAAATTAAACTTGAAAACACAGCTGATGTGGTGTCCAGGTCTGGACAAAACGCACACGGAAAACAGCGCAGTATTTCTATATTAAAATTGTCACAAGTATCCATCCAGGTAGAGAATGCCATGTGTATCCTGATTCCTGACCATCACATAGTTTCTTAAATCTACCATTGCATTTCTTTTTACGAGTTTCACATAAAGTGGATGGCCCTTGCAACAGAAGCTTCCCTGGGTCTATACTTGACTGCAGGTTGATAAATCGAATGCTCTGTACATGCAGCATGCGTGTGTAACAAACCAAAACAAAGCTATTCCGTGATAGAAGTATTCACTCGATAAAGCTTGGTTTTACTCACCTCTCGCCCAAGTTCCTAAAACATCAGCCGTAAAATGGCTACCGATATCTCCCTATCCAGCATGACCATGCACTGCCGACGAATCTACGACGAAGAGTGATAATACTACAAAAGGGAAGCGGAAATCTGACGAGAAGGTTTATTTATGGAGACGTCTAAATTGCTCCGCTTGCAGGAAGAACCAAAATAAATTTTGTTATTTTGAAAATCCCGCGGAATTGGTGAATGTGGCACAAAAAAGATTATTTGAAAAAAATCGGCGTGCTCCAGCGCGAGGCGAGCATGGATCACGCTCGCGCATCTCGTTTCCACTCCCGGTATTTGACGACTCCCTGGTCTGGCTTGACCCACCCAGCAGGAATTCAGAACCTGGGTGCGCTACAACACAAGCTACAGTACGCAGTAAAATTGTCGTATTTCCTTCGGATTTTTTATTTGAAAATTGGGTGCTCGAATCAGAAACAGCGAACTCGTCAGATCGTCTCCGATTCAAGCACACGGGTCTGCCATCGTCTACGCTTGGTGTGGCAGTTGAGGGCAGGGAGTAGTAACTTACTACTTCATTTTTGAGAGCAAGATGGTCAGTGGAGCCGCAGATTCAGCAGGTCTTTGGCAGCACCGTACAGGAGACCCATATCCTCGAATCAAGGACCCAGCAAAAAGTGGGTCGCGAGTATTTCAAAAAGTGTTTACCGGGCAGTGCTGAAATTTGGCATACCGTTAGCAGGCCGTATGTTGATGGTATTTGTGAAAATTAAACGAAATCGGAACAAGTTTAGGTACAATTTCAGGGTGTTTCTGTTTTGGTACCCTGTGTCTCATTCGAGCACCCGGGTCTACGTGGGTGATCCACGTAAAGTGGATGCCGGATGAAGGGCACCCACGTTGCAATGTTGTGTTTAGTCACACGGAACAAACAAAAGCATGAAGCTAAAGGCCAAAACCTGGTCAAAGACGAAGCTACCCCGGCCTAAGAAGCTCATCCAATATTTTGATTTCGTGCTTCGGAAACTACTTCAGCTGAGCACCCTCACAGCTCGCACAATGCGCTCCATTCCGATTTTCACCCACGTTCTGGCGGAACGTGGGTGAGCCTCCATACACGGTATGTCGTGAATCAGAAAACGTCTGTACGTGGGTCACTGAGTATCACGTGCTACACACACGTAAAGCACCCACGGATTACGTGGGACTAAACCTCCCTAATTCTAACTCTCTGCACTGCAGTGCAGGCGTGCACCCACTATACTTGGCATCTTCCTTCTCAGTTTGAACTTTCATTTCGAGATCGTTTTTTTGGTTTCAGTTTGTACTAGTATGTCTGTGGTCAAGTAGCACTAGAAGTAAGCGTCGTGATGAGTTTAAAGTGTCTCATTCACGTTCCGGAGTGCGGTGAGGAGGTGAAGCCCTTCCCCCAGACTACGTGGAAGAAGGTGTGTGAAATATGCACTACAGTCCATTCATAAAAAAATGGGTCCTGGCTCTGGCGAGCTCCCGTATTTGGCGATTTTTCGTGATTTCATCGTACACAGTGCAGTGCTGCGAACTTTGAAATTTGAAAAAGGGTCCAAAAAGGGTGCCTGAACTGGGGTTCGAACCGCAGAATGCACTGTTGCAGGCGGGGTCAAACGGCCTGGATTTTGATGGTTTTTCCCAATTCAGTGCTTTTGGGGCAAAACCTGGCCGAAATCCTATTCTTGCTATGGCTTGCTTTTTGGACAAAAAAACTTCAGAAACATAATTGGAAGAGGATTCCATATGGGATTGCAGAAAAAAATTCTAAAAAAACTCAACGTTTGACCCATTTATGGCCAA